AGGATTAAATAATAAATATATACGAAGGAGAGGACAAAATACTTTTAAAAAAACAAACAACAACAATAGAAATTGAGAGCTGAACATGTATGTGTGAAGATAGTTTATTAACCACACCCGTATGTCAGAGGTTTTGTGCCCCACAGGTGAACTAAAGGAGAAGGTGACCCACTATCTCACCAGGAGACTGGGTGTGGATCCAGTCCCTAAAGAAGAAAAACTGGAAGCAGGCCTGTTGGGAAGGGCCCTATCAAGTCCTATTAGATCCACCTGGGTGCATGTCACACACTGCAAAAAGGTAAACCCAGTTACACCTGATGAACAAACACAGAGTTAGGAGAAAGAACCGATCACCACTAGGGCTCGGGGGTTGGCTCCTTAACGAAGATTCCCTTACCCTGTCTGATCATCCCTGTGTGAGTTCGATAGAAGGTAAAGCAATGGGTTGGCCTCTGACATGTTCTCAGGGCGAGGGTGGGGATTCACAGGTCTCCCGACGGTAGGTAGCTGTCTGATTGTGGGGGCCATATTCCTAACACACTCAAACCCTCCTGATCAGTCAGAAGTAGTAGTTAACCTAACACAAGTTGATAAAATAATACCTGAGCACAGTCTACGAAGGCATAGGCGACAGCTAGATGTAGGGAAAGGGGAAGTACTAGGGACTTTAGGGAAGGACATCACCATATGTATGTCACCATGTACATCCTGGGACTATGTAGTTGCTCATACCGAGGGGGGGGGGGGGGATATGTCAATCTCCATACACAGTTTAGGGACAGGTGTAGTATTGTGAAAGTAGGGAATTACCAGAAATGGCAGTGCGACCCATATAAGGGTAGGTACTGTCTGAAAGTCTGAATTATGCAAAAACAGGTTACAGACCTGACAAGTGAGATATCCTCTTCAACTGGGGCACCCTATAGAGTAAACCTCTCTGAGGGAGGTAGTGAGACAGTGCAAACTATAGACCTGAAGAAAGTAGGACAGGTGGAGACGGGGTGTAGGAATCTTGACCGGTGGCTGGAATGGATTTAGTATACGGCAAGAACTATGTCTAAAGAGGACTGTTATGCCTGTGGGACAGCCAAACCAAGGTTAACAACTACTCCGTTCCCCTTGACAGGCTTTAACTCTCTGTCAGGTTTATCCTCCATGCAAGCCACCTGGGAATGTGGTGAAAGAGTCTTGTAGTAACTTGAACTATCTGTATCCCCCGATAACAAAGTCATTCCGACCTAGGTTGCCTCCGTTTGAAGTCTCAGGGGATTCTAATTGTTTTTCTAGGACTAGTAAGATAGGATACAGGGTAGGGCATCTTAGCTCCTGCTCCCACACAGAGAATATCACAACTAAAAGAGACCATGACTAATCTCTCCTCTTTGTTGCAGCCAGAGGATTTTAGGAACCAAAACCAGGCCCGTGCTGACATCTGATGGTTGTATGGTGATAACTGATTGTGAACTCACCTACATATGTAAACAATCAAACGTGTCAGAGACTGGTGAGTTGTCACGTAGAAAGTGGGACCTCCTCCCGGGATCCTTTGATGAAAGGATATATATATTGATGGGATAGCAGTACCTCGAGGAGTTCCAGAACAATTCAAAGCTAGGAATCAGATCGCAGCTGAGTTTGAATCAAGTCTTTTTTGGTGGTCAACAATTAATAAAAACGTAGATTGGATGAATTATATTTACTATAACGAGCAAAGATTTATAAACCACACTCGTGATGCAATAAAGGGATTAGCTGAGCAGACAGCGGCAACTAGCTTAATGACATGGCAGAATAGAATAGCTTTAGATATGCTTTTGGCTGAACGTGGCGGAGTTTGTGTTCTGTTTGGATATATGTGCTGTACTTTCATCCTCAAACAACATAGCACCGGACGGGTCCGTGACAAAAGAGCTTGAGGGACTCACCACGTTGGCGAACGAACTGGCTGAGAAAGCTGGTATTGATAGCTCATAAACGGTTGGTTTGATAACATATTTGGTAAATGGAAAACTATTGTTGTAACTATTCTGGGTGAAGTTATAGCTTCTATGGGTATACTTGTTCTTTGTGGATGTTGTCTTATTTCCTGTGTCTGAGGTTTGGTGAGAAAGGAGATGGAGAAGGTGGTTTCCCAACAGATGGTGATATACGGCCCAATCCTGGACTCCAACCTAAGGAATGAAGGATATGACCTACCAGGCTTGGTGGAGTGACACTAGAGGGTGTCTAAAGGGGGCCAAAATTTACTTCCCTGTTTGTGTTTTGTGTTCTATTAATCCTGTGTTTTATGCTTTATTAATTAAGTTAACCATTGTGAATGTTTGTCTTTCCTTAAGTGATGGTTTGAAGTTCCTTGGTGACTGGTAACAATTTGCAAGTTGGGTATGGATGGACTGAGGGGTTTTATTTTTAGTATCATTATGGCCTATTAATAAAAGTGTGATTCTTTTTGTTTGTATTGTATTTTAATGAATGACACCCTGTGTTTTCTTATTTTTTGAATCACACCCAGTGGGTGTGAAAAGGGGGATTGTGGAGGATTTATTATTCTCATAATTGATGGGATGACTAACTTAGAAAGAATGCATTCTAGACTGGGCTGATGTGGGTTGTGTCACCTGGCAAGCTGTGATTGATGTGAAGAGCTGTTTTAGGGGGGTAAGATAAGATAATTTGTGTCTCCAAATACTAGACTATACTGGTTCTTTGTGATCTGTGAACCATCCTTGGACGTAGGAATGGTGTCTAGGGGAGCTGGCTCTTCTCACCATGACAGGTTGTTATGATAAACTTATGCCTGGCAACCGGGATGCACTAAGGGGCTGGGACTAGCCCGTGCGTCAACGGATAGGCTGAGTAAGTCTAAACCACGCTCAGCGTCTACTCTGATTGGCCAGCAGAGAGCGGGAACTGAGAACTGTCAAGAGTATTTGAAGAACAATCTGAAACAATGGATTAGTTCTCTGAATGCCCTGCGAGGTATTTCAGGGAGCCCGTATATACGAAACATCATATTTACCATTGAAGGTTTTACATTAATTAAAATACTAGTATATCTTAGAAGTCGTGTTGACCTCTTTTGTTCCTAATACCAGATTTGAATTGACGCAACTTTGACACAGCCATTCATGGACAGTTTTGAATATGTCATACAAATAAGCATTGGATATTAAATGCTCCAGGAATCAAATATCATTTTAGTATTGTGCACATGCTAGGCTTCTCAACTTATAAAACACATAACATTTTGTCTATGTAGAGTAAGATGATGGCAAGGATCTTCAACTAATAGGCATAAACTACCTGAATATTGATATTCATTACATTTTTCTTGAAGGTAAGGTGATTTTGAGAAATTATTGTTATAACAATAACATTTTCAAACACAACCAGACATTGATTGATTGAGTGGAGACAGCTTGTGTCAATGAAATAACATTTCTTAGGAGTTTTTACCTGCAGCAAACCTAGTGGATAATGCTGAAAATACCGGTAAAAGCAAAGTGAATGCATGGCATGGTAGAGCATGGCGCTTGTAACGCCAGGGTAGTGGGTTCGATCGAGTGCTCAGACAGAAAATCATTACTTCAGATCGCAGATCATCTGTCGCGTTTTCCCTCTAGATGGCCAACGGACGTCGGTGTTAAGCAGCAGCTGCTCGGATAAAGTTAAACACTTTCACTGCGTCATTCAAAACATAAATGGTCGGTTTCTTGCTGGCCAATGCCTCTCTGTGAATGATACAGTGGGATATACCTTCTTTATGTGGCCAATTAATCATTTAACTCTCCCAGGTGCGCACATGAACACAGGATTTCCAATCCAGATTGTGCTCTGAGAAAACGCTGTCAAGAATGTGAGAAACATCCTCGCCTGTAGTTCTCCCTGTTAGCTTCTTGCAGAACAGAATGTGCTCATTAATTTCCGAAATGTCTCTGTATCGCACAAACGCAATCAACTGGACTTCCCCACTGAGCAAATGATCAACCATTGCGGAGCAAATTATCAACTATTGAGCCAACGGGCGGGAGGGCAGGCAGAGGCCAGGTAGACAGAGAAATGCGCACGCACCGAAACTAAAGTAAAAAGGTAGGCTGATCAATGTATAATAACTAAAGATTTCAGTGGCCTCAGTAAATGTTTTCCTGCCTATTAAGATTGAAATAACTTGAACAATTTTTTTCCCTTCTATTTAAAAAAATTACAATTAAAAAACTCTTCCCACCTAACTCCTGGGGACTGCTGACGGGGGTACACCTACACTGATAGAGGACTCATCTTTGTATCTGTGCCATTATAGTGTCTGGGACATGGGCAGTTATAACGTCTTCTTCATTGGCTGATTGTTCTCAACTCATCAGAATCCCCACCCAGTTTACTTCTTTAAAATGGTGGAAGCCCTCAATGACAATGTCAAAATGGGTTATATCCATGATTCCTCTATGAAGACAGGCACAACTCAGCTATAAAGTTGTTTTTTCCCCCAAAGTTTCAAAAATGCCACGTGCATTCGTAACAACCTAACCATTATGAAACATCAATTCGATCAAATAAGCACCATGTAGCAAACTAACAATGACATACCAAAATCCCTTACTTTGTGGGCTTATTTTCACCTCTTCCTCTGGTAGGCTATGAGGCATCAAGTTCAACAATCGTTTCCCTGATTGGTCAGTGAGTTTCTCATAAAGTGTGGCAGGAAAAGATGCGCCCCAAAGGGTGTGGTGGCTTTTGTTTCAGCCTAGTACAAATAACCGACATGACTAATCAAGGACACCATGAGGGTCCCCACCACCAGGAATAGTGAATATGAATGACATAACATGTCACAAGATGACAAAAAAGCAATGCTAAGACCGCCAGAAATATTGTACTTGTTTTTGTGTGTATGCATTCATGTTGTGTGCATGGTACATCTTAGTTCTTTTAATTTAATTATGTACACATTGGCAGCTAAAAGCTGCAAATCAGAACCACCATCAACAAGATTACTTTACAATGCAATCTTTAATTCTGACTGTGTCATGTTTTCAAGAGAAAGAATAGTGAAATAGTCTACATTGGATGTTTGTTGTCAATACCTCAAATAAAATCAATTTTGTATTTTCTTTTGGCAAGATATCATTTGAAACAGTAATGATAGATAACACAAATCTCAATGTCAAATCTAGAATTTCAGGAATGTGACCCCAACAACTTGTCCATGGGGGTGTTTTAGAACTCTCTTATGACATGTTGTATTCTCCAGTTTTGCCCAGTGCACTGTTGGATGACCAGCATATAGTATGAGTCTTGTCCCTGGGCAATCTCAAGACACCTATTTGTGTGTGTGTTCTTGATGGCTTGACCCTGAAAAAAATAAAAAATAAAATAACTTTGCATGCTTGTTTAGTGAATGCTGTTATGAATAAGGCTTTGATTAAACTGTCTTTGGGTGTGGTGCATAGACTGTAGCTCTACCATACCAGGGTGGGTGACCACTGCTCTAGAACAGGGTTTCCCAAACCCGGTCCTGGGGCCCCCACTGGGTGCACGTTTTGGTTTTTACCCTAGCACTACACAGCAGCTGATTCAAATAATCAAAAGGTTGATGAGTTGGTTATTTTAATCAGCTCTGTAGTTGTAGGACACCTGGGAGAGAGGGGGGGGGGGTTCTAAAATGTATGACCTTGACCCACATGTCTGATTACAGGTTACCTGTTGAAAGACCCAGTGCTTGTGTAGTACCCTCTCCGTTGCCAGTTTACAATCATGCAGCGTTGGTATATTTCCAGTGCCAGGATCCACTAGACACCGGTTGTTGTTGTACTTGTGAGACTTAATCCCACCCACGTAGATCTCCCCATCAGTGTTGTAATAACATTGCTGTGGATAAGCACATTATTCAACAGACGTGGTGAATGGGTTGTTTGGCACAAAATTATATAATACACAGACAGACACACAGAATACAAACATACCTGTGGTTGATAGAAATGACATCCATAAAGAAGGGGTATATTCCCAGGAACAGTCCCCTCATCAATACAATGGCTCTGCAGGAGGTCATTCTGCAGCTGGAGGGGCAAGAAGGTGGTGTGTTTAGGCAGGAACATTTGGTGGTACACTAATACCCTCTTCACACTATCGTGCCCAGTCGAACCAAACTGTACCGGCTCCGATATTTTATTTTCACATTGTGGAAATAAATAATAATAACCAGGCCATCTCAGTACAGGTAGGTTTGGCGCCATAGTTTGAAACAGTAGACAGTATGCTATGCGTTCACTAAGAAGATCTGTGCCCATGAGTCGGAGGCTGCGTTTAGACAGGCAGCTCAATTCTGATTTTTCTTTTTTTTACGAATTGGTCTTTTAACAAATCAGCTCTGAAAAAAGATCTGATGTGAAAATATCTGATGTGATTGGTCAAAAGACCAATTAGTGGAAAAAAATATCAGAATTGGGCTGCCTGTCGAAACGCAGCCTGATTGTTCAGTTTCACCATTAAATCAGAACATTTAATTGTTACAACTGTTTTTCATAATGAGTCTTTGTTTTAGGGTGCTGCTACATTTGGTTAAACATTGTTTGGCATTTACCAGGCAAATATCAGTTAAACAGTTGTCAAAGTTATAATCCTGTACATTGTATTAATCTGGTGAGGGATTTAGTAATAATGTAACCCTTACTCCTCCATAGGCCACTAGCTCCTCCCAGGTGGCCAGTGTAGGATACACGTTATCCAGGTACCACTTGAAGGGCTTACATTTAAGCTTTTCTCTGAGCTTCTTCCTCTCTGACACGTCGCCGATATCAATCCCATGATCCTAGGAGCCATACATCAAAAATAATACTGTTAGAAAAACAATCAAAATGATTTCCACAGGCTATTTATAGGACAGAAAGTCTTATTTTTTCATTGCCCGACCCACAGAGGTTTATGGGCAATTCAAGTCAGTGTAATTCCGTTACCATGGAATTGCCCTAATCTCTATTGCCCTACCTTCAATGGAAGATTCCAAGCAATGTTCACATTACTTTTGTAATCATCCATCCAGATCTCAGCAACCCTCAGTGCATTCCTTCTCATTATGTTACTCAGGTCAGGTGCATAAGGTTTGTGTGCCCTCTCAATGTGAGCGATCTTAGAACAAGGCACTACTTCAACGCTTCCTCCACATAGCCACACCTGGAACAAAACAGACCAGATCACCACAAAATGTTATTGAAGATATGTGAGACAAAACATACATTAGAACTCTGCTATGTGCTTGTAAAATGACAAGTCTAATATATACCCAACTGAGGACAACTTCCTTAGCTACTTGACGTCAGATAATGTAATTTGTACAGCCATTACGCCATGGTAACCTACCCTGATCCCCAGCTCAACATTCTCTCCTCCATAGATTTTCATTCCACCATCAAGTACCCCAATCTCTCCAAGGAAAAGTCGATGTGCCACAAAAATACCCATGACAGAAGGACTCCTATTAAAACAAAAACTCAGTGAGTGATTATGTGGAACCAACCAGCGAGTAAGCTACAAGAAGTAGGACTTAGACACAATACACACGTCATTGAAATCAATACTACACTACAAAAATATCTAAAACGCAACAATTTAATTTATTTTACTGAGTTAAATATATATATTAAATATAAGGAAATCAGTCAATTGAAATAAATTAATTAGGCCCTAATCTATGGATTTTACATTACTGGGAATACAGATATGCATTTGTTGGTCACAGATAACTTTAAAAAAGGTAGGGGTGTGGATCAGAAAACCAGTCAGTATCTGGTGTGACCACCATTTACCACATGCAGCGTGGCACATCTCCGTCGCATTGATTTGATCAGGCTGTTGATTGTGGCCTGTGGAATGTTGTCCCACTCCTCTTCAATGGGTGACATGTCTAGTTAGTATGCAGGCCATGGAAGAACTGGGACATTTTCAGCTTCCAGGAATTGTGTACAGATCCTTGTGACATTGGTCCATGCAGTCATGCTGAAACATGAGGTGATAGCGGCAGATGAATGGCACGACAATGGGCCTCAGGATCTCGTCATGGTATCTCTGTGCATTCAAATTGCCATCGATAAAATGCAATTGTGTTTGCTGTCCGTAGCTTATGCCTGCCCATACCATAACCCCACCGCCACCATGGGGCACTCTGTTCACAACATTGACATCAGCAAACCACTCGCCCGATACAGTTGATGCATCTGTGAAGAGCACACTTCTCCAGCGTGCCAGTGGCCATCAAAGGTGAGCCTTTGCCCACTGAAGTCAGTTACGATGCCGAACTGCAGTCAGATCAAGACCCAGGTGAGGATGAGGAGCAGGCAGATGAGCTTCCCGAGACGGTTCCTGACAGTCTGTGAATAAATTTTTTCGGGTTGTGCAAACCCACAGATTCAGCTGTTAGGGTGGCGAACCCGCAGGTGGAGAAGCCGGATGTGGAGGTCCTGGGCTGGCGTGGTTACACATGGTCTGTGATTGTGAGGCCGGTTGGAAGTAATGTCAAATTCTCTAAAACGATGTTTGAGGCGGCTTATGGTAGAGAAATGAACATTCAATTCTGGCAACATCTCTGGTGGACATTCCTGTAGTCAGCATGCCAATTGCACACTCCCTTAAAACTTGAGACATCGGTGTCATTGTGTTGTGTGACAAAACTGCATATTTTAGAGTGGCCTTTTATTGTCCCTAGCACAAGGTGTACCTGTGTAATGATCATGCTGTTTAATCAGCTTCTTTATATGCCACACCTGTCAGGTGGATAGATTATCTTGGCAAATGAGAAATGCTCACTTACAGGGATGTAAACAAATTTGTGTGCAAAATTTGAGAAAAATACGCTTTTTGTGCGTATGGAAAATTTCTGTGATATTTTATTTCATCTCATGAAACCAACACATTACATGTTGCGTTTATATTTTTGTTCAGTGTACATAATATTATTCTGCAATTCCTATTCACTGCTACTAATTAATACAGAACATATGAGACAATAAGCCTCACAGTGATGGGGCTGGATGCTACATAGTGGACTTCACTTACTTCCCTGGCTGTGATTCATCATGGAGCTCGTTCCACTCGGGTCTGAAGGACTCGTACATGCACCACAGGGGCCAGTCAAAGCCGTGTGCACTGGCCCAGTAATGCTCCACCTGCAGGTCATCAAAACCGACCTTGTCAAACACCGGAGTCACCACAGTGGTCCTGTCTGCTTTGATCCTGGCCAGCAGTGGCTCTGCCCTGTAAGCGTGGACAACAAAAATCAATAAATCAAAGACAAGCAGACAGATGCTGCCCAAATAATGTAGGGGAAACACCATACACGCATGGCACTTACCATCCGACATTGACTTCAATGTGGGCATCCAGAACGGCCACTGTATCGGCGGTGGCGTGTGCCCACCCTGAGATGCGAGCTTGAGTCAGACCCATCTGATACTTGTGTCTCACCCTCTTTATAAGGCCCGGCCGGTCCTTGTGGATGAACTCTATGTAGGCAGCTAGCTTTTCTCCCAGGTCCTCTGTGGAGAGAAGAGGTTCATAATTAAGACTATAGACAAATATTTACTCCACTAGTAACAAAAGCACAACAAACACAGATCGTTATAGTCATGGAATGGTGACCGTGAGATGCACCATTGGAGCTGTGGTCGTCCACCAGAATGATTTCTCTCAGCAGGTGTTCAGGGGTTCGGTTGATGATGCTGCGGATTGCCCTCTTAATGATAGACAGGGCCTCGTCCAGGTAGATCAACACCACAGCAATACTGGGCAGGTCCTTGGGGTATTTCTTCTGCAAACATCTGAGTGTTGAGAGATTATTTAGAAGGCATACCACCACATGTGATTTGTGTCTTACCATTTATCAGACTGTAATATTTAAATGTCCTCCTAATTTCATCAAGTCATGACCAAGCAGCGTAGTTACAGTCATTACATTTTAGTAATTTAGCAGACGCTCTTATCCAGAGCGACTTACAGTTAGAGAGTGCATACATTTTCAACAAAGTTACGGTCCTGATTACAGTTGGTTTAACCTGTTGTCTCGTGTATCTGGCAGCTCTCTGTTGAGTGGCAGTTGGTCACTCAAGAAGACGTTGTATCCATATCTCTGGAACAGCGCCTCGGCCTCTCTCTGCTCCTCCTCTGAGAGGTCATCACCCCACTTTGTAAACAGGTAGGAGTTGGGATACAATTTGGGCACCACCATCTTCTTTGCCTCTGTTACCGCAACTCCTTCCCTTGTTGGGGGGTCTTCCTGATTTTTTGATTCTATTAATTTGGCTGTGAACAAAATGCTCTCAAGTATTACTGATGCCACTGAGGAATACTATGCGACAATGTTATAGGCATGAGTGGCATCTATCAGTTAGAGACTAACATCAACAATATTGCAAAAATATATATGAATTCCCTTTTGTTCTTCAGTAGCACTTGATTTTACAGTATTTCTGAGTCACTGGTAGTTGTATTTAATGATTGACAGACAATGACTGGATTATTTTGGCTGCTTGCCAATAGCAATGAAACCATAGTACTGCATATTACCCATGCAACATAACAGAAATATTGCAGAAATGCATTAGAAGAGTCACAATCCATGTGTTTATAAAGAAAAATATTTTAAAAAATCACTGTGAATAGTGTCATGTCATGTACTTCAGTAAACAATACTGTAATGCAAAGAATGTATGTCAAGATGGCGATTGAGAACACATAAAAACACTTATAGTGGCTTGCGAAAGTATTCACCCCCCTTAGCATTTTTCCTATTTTGTTGCCTTACAACCTGGAATTAAAATGGATTTTTGGGGGGTTTGTATCATTTGATTTACAAAACATGCCTACCATTTTGAAGATGCAAAATATTTTTTGGGGTGAAACAAACAAGAAATAAAATAAAAACAGAACTTGAGCTTGCATAACTATTCACCCCCCCCAAAGTCAATACTTTGTAGAGCCACCTTTTGCAGCAATTACAGTCATACCACAGATTCTCAATTGGATTGAGGTCTGGGATTTGACTAGGCCATTCCAAGACATTTAAATGTTTCCCCTTAAACCACTCAAGTGTTGCTTTAGCAGTATGCTTAGGGTCATTGTCCTGCTGGGAGGTGAACCTCTGTCCCAGTCTCAAATCTCTGGAAGACTGAATTTCCCTGTATTTTGCGCCATCCATCATTCCTTCAATTCTGACCAATTTCCCAGTCCCTGCCGATGAAAAACATCCCCATAGCATGATGCTGCCACCCCCATGCTTCACTGTGGGGATGGTGTTCTCGGGGTGATGAGAGGTGTTGGGTTTGCGCCAGACATAGCGTTTTCCTTGATGGCCAAAAAGCTCAATTTTAGTCTCATCTGACCAGAGTACCTTCTTCCACATGCCTTTTGGCAAACAACAAACGTGTTTGGTTATTTTTTTCTTTAAGCAATGTCTTTTTTCTGACCACTCTTCAGTAAAGCCCAGCTCTGTGGAGTGTACGGCTTAAAGTGGTCCGATGGTCAGATACTCCAATCGCCGCTGTGGAGCTTCATCTTTGGTCTCTTTGTTACCGCTCTGATTAATGCCCTCCCTGCCTGGTCCGTGAGTTTTGGTGGGTGGCCCTCTCTTTGCAGGTTTGTTGTGGTGCCATATTCTTTCCATTTTTTTATAATGGATTTAATGGTGCTCTGTGGGATGTTCAAAGTTTCTGATATTTTTTTTATAACCCAACCCTGATCTGTACTTCTCCACAACTTTGTCCCTGATCTGTTTGGAAAGCTCCTTGGTCTTCATGGTGCTGCTTGCTTGGAGGTGCCCCTTGCTTAGTGGTGTTGCAGACTCTGGGGCCTTTTAGAACAGGTGTATATACTGAGATCATGTGACAGATCATGTGACACTTAAATTAAGTCCACCTGTGTGCAATCTAACTAATTATGTGACTTCTGAAGGTAATTGGGTTGCACCAGATCTTATTTAGGGGCTTCATAGCAAAGGGGGTGAATACATATGTACGCACCACTTTTCCATTTTTTGAAACAAGTTATTTTTTTCATTTCACTTCACCAATTTTGACTATTTTGTGTATGTCCATAACATGAAATCCAAATAAAAATCCATTTAAATTACAGGTTGTAATGCAACAAAATAGGAAAAACGCTAAGGGGGATGAATACTTTTGCAAGGCACTGTTCATAGTTCAAAACACTTACATAGTTTGTTGAGGTTCTTTTCAATATTCTCCAGTCTAGTCATCAGCATAGTATTCTGATCCTTGGCAGGCTCTCTTTGGTGAAGCCTTTTTGTATTGGAAGTGGAACTCACTGCCTGTTTCATATAGACAATATACATGATGAGTGGAATAATGGCTCCAACCGTGATTCCCACTCCTCGCAGGACGTAGTAGAGCTTCATTGCTACCTGTCGACAACCAGCCTGGTTCTATGTCCCTTTGTCATAGACATTGATTCGGGAACCGTGCCCTCTAAAGACGTTACAACTCCCTCATGTAATGCCATAAAATAATCCTTATCTAATCAACAAAGAATACGTTTCCCCCACCGTGCCTATAAAAAAAGGCGAACCACCACTGATTTACTTAATTAACAGTAATGGAGAGCTGATAAGCTAGATCTACTGTTAACATGATTACACATAAAAAGAAAAGCCGCACACTCTTAGCAGCTCAGATGTAATAACGTTTCGACAGCCACGCTGTCTTCATCAGGGTACAATGACAAACACCGCAGTTCACTAGTTTATATAGTTTGAAAGGACACACACGTGTCTGTAATCATAGCTGGCTGTGGCTTGATTTCATTGGTCGATTTACAAACATCAATAGTACAAATAGAAAAGCGTGAATGGATAACATACGATCGTATAACAATTAGGCTACATCATATTGGCCTACAAACACAGACATGTTAAGACCAGATACATGATGTAGAACATCATTGATCATTGCCAAAGGAAAACGTGGGCATAACAGTTGAAATCTTATCAGTTGAACTGTGGAAGGGGCTCCATAAAAACAGATAGTGGGTTACTATAGGAAAGAATAGATTGCTGAACCTTGATGACTCAAAGTTCTATAGATTGTTTCAAAGTACATCTACTCAATGTTATGTTACATTGGAGTGTGTTAAGATGATTGATTATTGTTGTTTTAATGGATCCACGGAATCCATCAAAGTTTAGTACCAGTCATAACAAAATAGTTTTAGACTATCATCTTTTATTTATTTATGTACAGAATATTTGTAAAAGAAGACAGCACAGTTTAATAGGAGGATCAGTCTGTGGCTATGGTGGTGGTGTCGTTGGGCGGTCAGACAGACGGGCTACTCAATAGTTGACTGTCTTGGCTGGCTTGGTATCAGCCAACTCAGCCTCCAAAAAGCGGAAGCGGCGATGGCGACGCAGGACCTCGATGGCCTTCTGCTCTACGGAGGCAGGGACGATTCCCAGGTCCTCCAAGCCAGGAAGCCCTGGATACTTCATATCTGTGGTGTGGAACTGGAACAAACACATTCAGGTCATCACACAAATCCAGAAGAAATACTTACGGTTAAACATACTTCCTTCATTCATATTTCTTCAACATGTTGCCCCAACAACATGAGAAAATGTAAATGTACCTTAATTTGTATAAAATATGCTTTTTACAAGGATGTTTATAATATGCTGTTTATGTTGCATTTTCTTACTCGATCTACTTTGTCAGGAGTTGTCCAAGGTTCGAATGGGTTCATTGCAAAGAAACTTGCAACAAGACTGAAACCAGAGATAAAGGCAAGACATGTTTATTATACCGTATCTGATAGTATTGCATTTAAACAAACCAACATCTTCCTTGTTCCTTGCCACCTCGCATCCACTGGTCAAACTTGATAAGGCTTTTTGTGTTCTAAACATACTAACAGCTTGGCACTCAACTATTCATCAGTCAGCCTATATAGTAAGTACACAGTAAATGTTCCTCAGAGTGTAACTTAGGATACCATGCAGAACCAGAAGCCGGTGCATACTCACTGATAGAGAGGGCGTGGGAGGGGGTAGGGCACAAAGGGCCTGTGTGCCACAGCATACACGTACTCCACCAGGTCATGAAGGAGATAACGGTTAGGTCTGTGTGGCGGGAAACAAACAAAACTAACCAAAAGGCTGACAAACATTTTGGTTGATACATTTCTAAATTCTCCTGGTTGACACTTCTAAATAATGTACTGCATGAATGAGCATGAAACTTCCATTACACAATCATATATTTTATTTTGGATTCAAGCCAAGTCCCACACCCTGGGTGAGTAAAAGATACAAACCCATGCCATAGAGCAACTCATCTAGTAGATGAACAATCGCTTTTATGATTTATACTAGGTTCACCTAGTTGACCTAGTCATTGATAATGAGCAGTTTCAAATTAATGAATAGAATTTTACTTTTTTACTGCCAAAAGTCAAGCCCATATCAAGTCCTTACCCAACTAGTGCATATGTCTTGCCATTGGCATCAGGGTCTTTGATGGCGTTGATGATAGCCTTGGCCACATCCACCACCTGAGGAGAGCAGACAGAGTGAGTCTTGAGTAACAGACATGGCTGACATCATGAGGACAGACACACTCACATGAACAGGCTGCTTCACTGTCTTCTTCCCCATGGAGATGAGAGGCACAGCCTTCCCAAACCAGCGCATGTCTGTGCAACAAAGGAAAAAACGAACATTCAATCAATGACTGAACTGATCCCATTTTGAACGATAATAGCATTGCATCAAGACCAATTGGAGCAAATACATCACCTTACAAAATCTTTATTTTGGTTTATTTTGCCAATACACTGCAAATTCAAGTGTTCAACCATGTAACAGCTCCCTCAATAGTTTGCAGTCCTATACAGTCAACAGGGGCTGTGTAATTATACCACCATGATCCCACAAATATGGACACTGTCTGCTTAGCGTTCTGACAGATCACAAATAAAATCTTATTTCACTTTTTAACAGTTTTTACTCTGGGCCACACTGAAATAAACTCTATGTTCTGCTTACTTACTGGCAAAATGGTTGAAGAATCTGTCCTCCCTTCCAAACATCTCAGCAGGCTTCATGATGATAGCATCAGGGAATTCATCTCTCACAGCCATCTCACCTACTGCCTGCAAGGTTACATCACACACATTACATGACATTTCTGCATAATGACATGCCAGAAAGAAATATGTCCAAGTACCATTGAAAGAGAGTTCAAAAGAGCTCTGCATTGGCCAGTACCTTATTCCTAAGGTATTTGGAGGGGCTGCGGATGTCAGCGTTGAGGTGAGATATATGGATCAGCTTTGTGATGCCTGCCTCCCGGGTGGCCTTGGCAATCTGCTGAGGGATGCTCACGTAGGTGTCCTCAAAGGGATAGTTCCTTTTACAGATAGAAAGAGGAAGAACAGAACACTGAGTAAAGCCAAGTACAACAAACGTTTCACAGAAAGGTCATAATTTAAGTGTGCCTAATGGTGGAAGCACTTGAGGTTCTTTGCTCCACTAAGGAGTAATTCAAGCCTCTGGTGTAGTTAAAAGTAGGTTGATTCACTTAGTAATGGAGCAACTCTTTATGTGAATGTTCACCACCAGTGGGTTCTTTTTAGGAACCATGTATTTTTCTAGAATAGTTTTGTGTATACAGTCAGTTGGGCCATACTTGGTCTCCCACTCTCGTCCCACCAGGTTGATGACCACATTGGAGTGAGCCAATGCTTTTCTGATAGAATCCTTGTTCCTGGCATCCCACTCCTGAAATATAGCAAGGTGGAGTGCACATATGAGGCGTGAGGGTAACCTGGCATGAGAAAAACCAACACTTAGCTAACAAATGAAGAGATGAAGGGACTTGAAAGTTTGTGATTAATGACGTCACATCTGATAAATAGTATTTTTCTCACCATAAAGATGATCTGTCCTAGATCCCCCATGGGCCTGAGATACATGAGGTCATACTGGTCACACCGGTGAGGAATCACAATCTGAGAACCCATACGACCTACAAAACCACCAGACAGGTCAACAAGCACGTAACTGCCCCATAGGAAACACGAGTATGCAGTCACTGCAGTGTAAACAAAGAGGATTGTCACAAAACCAAAGAAATGAATGCATCCCTCACAATCACATATAAACATAAGAAATAAGTTGAAGAGGACCACAGAGCTGCCATGTCATTTGAAAGATTATCATGTAAAGGCTTTGGGACTGATGATGGTGAAACTCACCCAGGCGGTTGACAACATATCTGCCCAGGAAGCCGGTGGCTCCGAAGACTGTGGCTGCTACCCCACTGGAGGAGGAGCGCCCCCCTTTCCCTCTGGGGATGACAGCATGGTGGACCTTTCTCTGCTGGACTGTCACAGGGACGGCTGACAGCACCACAGGGGAACAGGAACCTGCAGGGAGGAGCAGAAAACATAGACCTTCTTAGCAAAAATGTCAGTGGCATAAACTGAAATCTGATTAATCTAGCTAGCTACTAATTAGTGATGTTGACAGAGATGACAGAGACCTTTTTAACTAGTGTCAGTCACTGGAATGCAACAAAGGTCCACTAACTTGGTACCACAGTAAACAGCTGACATGACCATTCCATATTGATAAACACTGTCTGTCCCAGACGACCTAGCTAGCTGTCTAACTAGCAAGTTAACTCGCTAGCTAGCGTGGGAGCTAGGCCCTGGGAGGTATTAATCCAGTGAAAGTTATGCAAATTCCTGTTTTATACGTTGGCCATGAAATGTATATACGGGACTGTCAGTAGCATTTAGCTAGGACTAGCTCTTTACCGGTTGGCATATGCCATGGTGCTAGAAATTAGATAGCTAACCGGCTAACTTAGGTCATAGCACAAACAGGGTCACAAACGGTAGCAATGTCGCTTTAAAAACAATTCTGTGTTCAGATTAAACATTATTTAAACTATCTATGAACAGTTCACTTATCAGTGCATTTCTATCATCTAAAAGTGCATGTTTTGGTATTACTCACTTGAAAACCTGGGAAGGACACTCGCAGGACGGCTAACGAGCGCAGCGACCGCCATGTTTCTGCTCTGAAAGCGCTTCTTGGTACGGCAAGTCAGAAGGGTCTGGGTTTGCGTGAGTTCATGGATTCGTTTGTTTGAGAGCGTTATAATTTCAACATGTTGACAATGTAACAGTATTTTTGCTATATTGAAATCACTATTTTGAAATATAACCCGCCAGCCAATGACTAACCTAACATATCCGGCGTAAAAGAAACGCCTGAGCGGAGTCCCCACATCCGGTGATAAAACCGGAAACATCCGGTTTTCAGGGATACTGTATTTTCAATTTATCTTAATTTCCCCCTGAAAACCGGATGTTTCCGGTTTTATCACCCCTCATAGGCTAGCCAGGGACTGAATATGGAAAATTAGCCTGTCCTATAAGCTGGTGTAAAATTCAAGAAATGAAATAACAAATATTGATAATAACATGCCATTTAGCAGACGCTTTTATCCAAAGCGACTTAGTCATTTTTTTCATACATTTTTACGTATGGGTGGTCCCGGGGATCGAACCCACTACCCTCTACCAATTGAGCTACAGAGGGCCACTTATTTATTTTTTTGGATCATCACGCAACTCTTACTGATCTTATAATATGTTTGTGCTTGCAGTGCAGTGTTATTTTGTGTTGCCTACAAAGTTATTTCTCTGCAAGTAAACTAGTACTATACAGTATGTAATGGGTTGGGTTTACATGGCATAGCCATATAAGTATAAAATACCTCCAATTTAGTTGTTATTTATTTGTGTATGAATAATGAAGATGTAAGACTGAGACATACAAGTTGAAACAGCTACTATATATATGTTTTGTTTCCACTTATATTCTCATTCAATCCTGTAACTCTTCAATATTTTGTGTGACTAAGCTAGGTTTCCATCCCATTGGCGACAGATTTTCATGCAAATATTCTAAAATCTGTATAAAAACAATATGCGCATTTTCTCACCAGAGATGTGTTTACATAAAATTGACTTGTTGGGGATAAAAGCTGTGAGTGATGACGTGGTACATATAACAATACCTTTTGCGGAAAAATTCAAATGTAACGAATAAAAAATACAAGTTAAATGGTTTTCCATCGCATTTCCAACTCCAGGATTCTTCAGATAGCATTGAGGAGTACACCACATCAGTCACTGGCTTCATCAATAAGTGCATCGATGACGTCGTCCCCACAGTGACCGTACGTACCCCCAACCAGAAGCCATGGATTACAGGCAACATCCGCACTGAGCTAAAGGGTAGAGCTGCCGCTTTCAAGGAACGGGACTCTAACCCGGAAGCTTATAAGAAATCCCGCTATGCCCTCAGACGAACCATCAAACAGGCAAAGAGTCAATACAGGACTAAGATTGAATCGTACTACACCGGCTCTGACGCTCGTCAGATGTGGCAGGGCTTGAAAACTATTACAGACTACAAAGGGAAGCACAGCCGCGAACTGCTCAGTGACACAAGCCTACCAGACGAGCTAAATCACTTCTATGCTCGCTTCGAGACAAGCAACACTGAAGCATGCATGAGAGCATCAGCTGTTCCGGATGACTATGTGATCACGCTCTACGTAGCCGATGTGAGTAAGACTTTTATGCAGGTCAACATTCACAAGGCCGCAGGGCCAGATGGATTACCAGGACGTGTACTCCGAGCATGTGCTGACCAACTGGCAAGTGTCTTCACTGACATTTTCAACATGTCCCTGACTGAGTCTGTAATACCAATATGTTTCAAGCAGACCACCATAGTCCCTGTGCCCAAGGACACTAAGATAACCTGCCTAAATGACTACCGACCCGTAGCACTCACGTCTGTAGCCATGAAGTGCTTTGAAAGGCTGGTCATGGCTCACATCAACACCATTATCCCAGAAACCCTAGACCCACTCCAATTTGCATACCGCCCCAACAGATCCACAGATGATGCAATCTCTATTGCACTCCACACTGCCCTTTCCCACCTGGACAAGAGGAACACCTACGTGAGAATGCTATTCATTGACTACAGCTCAGCGTTCAACACCATAGTGCCCTCAAAGCTCATCACTAAGCTAAGGATCCTGGGACTAAACACCTCCCTCTGCAACTGGATCCTGGACTTCCTGACGGGCCGCCCCCAGGTGGTAAGGGTAGGTAACAGCACGTCTGCCACGCTGATCCTCAACACGGGGCCCCTCAGGGGTGCGTGCTCAGTCCCCTCCTGTACTCCCTGTTCACCCATGACTGCATGGCCAGGCACTACTCCAACACCATTTTACTGCTATTTGCTTTTATTTTTTATTTTTCTCAATTAACACTTTTTTATTTTATTTTTTTCTTTAAAAAACTGCATTGTTGGTTAAGGGTTTGTAAGCATTTCACTGTAATGTCTACACCTGTTGTATTCGGCGCATGTGGCAAATAAAAATTGATTTGATTTGATTTTCTCACAAAACATGTTGCGTTAGATAGCGAGTGTGCCCACTCTGGTATTGGCACGTGCGCTCTAGTCTAGCCAACATCTCGCAGATACAGTGCGGGTAGGCCTTTAGCCTATGATGAGATTATTATGGACAAAAAAGTGAGTTTATTTTTATTTGTCAAACGGCAGCCAAGCATCGATGATCATGTTACCAGAAAAAGACCCTCGATATTTATTGGAAAGGAGCATCATGTTCATAACCTTCAGAGGCGGTGCGTGGGTAAAATCACAGGGGAAGCCAGGCAATAAAAAAGCCATAGGCTATTACAACCTATGTGTTGTGATAATTGCGTTGTTTGCTCTATAATGTGTTAGCTCATATGCCCTGACACCGTGATATAGTCCTATAGGAATAAGGCTCAGATAATAAGAAGACAGTGGCAGAATAAATTAAACTACATCTTTGTTTCATCACAAAACCGGAGAGCAACATCTGTCCGGTGAAGTCCACAAAACATATTGCATGTAACAAACAGGTGAATGTTTAAAAAATGTTCGGACTACTAAACAACTATTGATTTAAAACCACGGAGAGTTATCGAAGTCGCAAAGAAAACAGTCACTGCCTCCACTATTCCAGCACCATTTCAACTTCAACATTTCAACATCTTCTAATCACCTATGCTTAGTCTTACACAACGAAAAGATACCAAAAACGATTTAGTCCAATCAACGTAAGCTAAATATAATGTGGCTGTCCATGGTACTGATTTCTATGTGTGTGTTGTGTGCGTGTGTGCGTAGAAAAAAACATGTTGACTCACCCTACCTGTACAGAAATGCCAATGCCATCCTCTTTCATGTTACCTAAACCGACTCTGTCATCACCTTTCACTTTCACCACCCTGTAAAGTTCACCATAACTTATTTCACCTGTAGCCGAATAAACTGCATGCTTTCGGACCACACAACATGTCATCGCGTGACTCCAAGTTTACTTCGATATGATTGATGGTTATTACATCAATATTTGCGCAAAAAAAGCGTTTCCACTGACATTTTTAAAAACATTTGAGTCATTTTAGCAGAAGCTCTTATCCAGAGCGACTTACAGTTAGTGAGTGCATACATTATTTTATTTTTCATACTGGCCCCCCGTGGGAATTGAACCCACAACCCTGGCGTTGCAAACGCCATGCTCTACCAACTGAGCTACATCCCTGCCGGCCATTCCCTCCCCTCCCCTACCCTACCCTGGACGACGCTGGGCCAATTGTGCGACACAAAAAGATCCCACCTTGCCTAGCGTATTTTGTTTTGTCGACATTTGTAAAGTTTACCGACAAATGTTCTTTCCATCAGGCCTGTCATTACATTTTTTTAAAACTTTACCCACTTAAGGTTGGATGGAAGTTATGGTGACTCTACCTGTAAGCTTGTGTAGCCAGGTCATTTATCAGATGCAAGGGAAATGACAGCATACATTTCACAAAACACTGTACCCTGTCCTTACAGCTACAAAGAGATGATGTCACCAATACCAGGATGTTCTGGTCTATATGCTCTATATTCTTTGTCATTATGTTGACTTCTAGAAACTGCCATGGGATAACAAAAAAGTATGCTACTGTCAAAAACCACGACAGTGAAATGCGGTAGGCGAAGTCACACGCAGGACACGGAGCTACTGGAAATCGTACTCTAATAAAAGTCGCCAGTAAAATGAACAGTCTCCAAACAACGGCGAAAACTAACCACCGGTACACTGTCGATGACACAAAACGATAACACACACACAACACACAATGCACGACAGAGGGTTAAATAGGGAATACAATACAACATAATGGGGAACAGGTGTACACAATCAGACACAACAAGTCAAACACCGAAACATAGATCGGTGGCAGCTAGTACTCCGGGGACGACGAACGCCGAAGCCTGCCCGAGCAGGGAGGAGGAGCAGCCTCGGCTGAATCCGTGACAGCTACTCCCTCACTGAATGTTTCCTGGCAAGCTACAGTATATCAATGATTACACAACTCTCATCTGATTACTTTTTGGGTAACTTTTTTATGTGGAGAATCTCAGTCTTTTATCCCAGGTAAATACAGAGCTAAAGTGCAAGGATTATAATACTGCAAGGCACAAACTATTAATAAAATGATTGTCTCTCAGTGTTTAATAGTTTTAAAAAAATGTTTACAAACACAAACAAGTATAAAATGCTTTTTTCATACATAGATAATACAAGTAAAACCTGAACAAGTAAAACCTTGTCTAAACTTTACAATAACCTGTAACATATACCATACATTATTTTCTGCATTACATACATCAAAAATCACAGCAGGTATATATATGTACAGGGAAAACAAGCCATTACAAACATAATTTCTATGTCTGGATAAATATATATAAATAATCAACATAATCATCACCATAATGACCATTATAAATATGTAATGTCATTCCAATAGCTATATTCAATCTAATAAAGATGCAGGACATAAAGGTTTGAATATAACATTTTCTTACAGGGCACAGCTGAGTTGAAAGATCAGCAGTGACTAAATTAATTAATTTGGCTCAGCCTTTATTGCACACGCTCCTTCAGAAACGAATAACCATTCTAAAGGAAGAAAATTAGTTTTCGAAGCCATGCAACATTTTGCACAACAGAGCTGCTTTGGTTTGGAATATCTACACATAAAGTACAGCAGTAAAAGAGTAAACCTAAAATATAAATAATATATTTTAAGAAGTCAACATACAGAAAAGATGATAAAGGCCATTGAAGGCCGAAACGTTAATCTTTTAAACTTAAATAAAACAATAAATGTTTAATGGTGAGCGAGCGTTGCGCCTTTTCCTTTTCAAAGAAGTCAATGTACAACAGGTAACACTAGCTGGGGTTGAGGATTGTGATCTGGGACACAAAAGATGCACACAAAAGATGCACATAAGAAAAGCATAATGCTGTCGTGCCAGGGTATTCCTGAATTGTAACCTCAACTGATCCTGTCTCTGTCTCTGAGCCTCCTTTAAACAGTAAACTAACCATCAACAATAACCCTAGTTGGAGTCGGGATTGGTAGCTTGCCAAACTATCAATCTTTGCTCTTCTCCATGACACGTAGACAGTGCATTCAGTGGGAGGCTCAGAACAGCTAAGGTAACTCTATAGAATGTATAGAATGAATCTCATAGACCACAGGAATGTCACAAAACAGGAGGTCCCCTATACATGACAACAGTATGCATTATCTTCTGTGTCTCGTTGATGATGTTAAAGTTCATAATGCCTAGTGGTGCCCTCCTGCCCCCTCCCTTGTGCTGCTACATGATAGGGGGCAGACACTGGGACAACTCCTGATCTCCGTCAGTGCCCACATCTAGCTGAGGCTTGATGATGATGTCCACGGGCCTCTCCTCACTCGCCTCCTGATTGTTGTCCCTGTTGACCTTGGCCACACCCTCACACAACTCCACCTCTGCAGAAGCTCCAATGGGATGCAGTCGCTCGGTGGTCACCATCTTGCCCCCTGCCTTGGTGGAGAGGTCTCTTTTCAGCTTGTCATTGCTATCGGACCCAATCTTCTCAGCTGCAAAGTACAGAATGATGTGGTTTAATCCATAAATTGTTCTGACACATTGTGAAGATTGATTTTAGAGAAAAAATAAAGTGAGAGGCCTGGTCTTACCTGTCCTGTTAGCGAATACTTTGCGGTACGTGGCCTCGTAGTTATTTTCTGTGCTGCTCACGCTTTCACTGGGCTTCCTCATAATGGGTCGTGTTTTGGGCCGGGGCTTGTTGAGACGAGCCTCCTGGATCCACTCATGTTGCATCGCTTCGTCTGGTGTCATACGCTTGGTTGGATCCCACCTAGATATCACAGAAATATATACTGAGTGTGTGTGGAGAAGATGAAGCAAGCTAATAATAATAATAATAATTTGGGGGGGTGCTTATATTTGCCCTGTTCCACACAAGTGTAACAGGTCACTACCAGAAATCTCATGACAACAGTAACTCTGCTTTTCATGACCCTGAAAGCATAGAGTAATAATCTTGTGCTGGATTCTAGATTTCTAGTGTGTCAGTGTTGTAGTACGTGAGGCAGTGTTGAAGGAAGTCCAGGAACAGAGGATCGTTGGTCTTCAAAATACTGGCTAGGTCTTTGGAGTTGGGTCGCCTCTTCCGCCCTTTGCTGTTTGTGATGTTTCTGGGGTTTCCTTTGGAGTCTGCAACAAGTCATCAAACACACTAGTTAGAGACTTACCAAACCTCATGGTTCAAACACAACCCAGAGATTCATCTGATTAATTCAGGCCCTAATCCTTTCTTAAGATGTTTTGTTGCTGCTAATTGTATACATCTATACCGTATACACTACCGTTCAAAAGTTTGGGGTCACTTAGAAATGTCCTTGTTTTCGAAAGAAAAGCAATTTTTTAATATCTACATAGGTGTACAGAGGTCCATTATCTTGAGACTAGTTGAGTATCTGGAGCATCAACAATTGTGGGTTCGATTACAGGCTCAAAATGGCCAGAAACAAATAACTTTCTTCTGAAACTCGTCAGTCTATTCTTGTTCTGAGAAATGAAGGCTATTCCATGCGAGAAACTGAAGATCTCGTACAACGCTGTGTACTACTCCCTTCACAGAACAGCGCTCTAACCAGAATAGAAAGAGGAGTGGGAGGCCCCGGTGCACAACTGAGCAAGAGGACAAATACATTAGTGTCTAGTTTGAGAAACAGACGCCTCACAGGTCCTCAACTGGCATCTTCATTAAATAGTTCCCGCATAACACCAGTTTCAATGTCAACAGTGAAGAGTCGACTCCGGGATGCTGACCTTCTATGCAGAGTTGCAAAGAAAAAGCCATATCTCAGACTGGCCAATAAAAATAAAATATTAAAATGGGCAAAAGAACACAGACACTGGACAGAGGAAGTTTGGGGAAAAGTGTTATGGACAGACGAATCAAAGTTTGAAGTGTTTGGATCACAAAGAAGAACATTTGTGAGACGCAGACCAAATGAAAAGATGCTGGAGGAGTGCTTGATGCCATCTGTCAAGCATGGTGGAGGCAATGTGATGGTCTGGGGGTGCTTTGGTGGTGGTAAAGTGGGATATTTGTACAGGGTAAAAGGGATCTTGAAGAAGGAAGGCTATCACTCCATTTTGCAACGCCATGCCATGCCCTGTGGGCCATGCCAATTTCCTCCAACAGACAAAGCACAGCTCCAAAGTATGCAATAACTATTTAGGGAAGAAGCAGTCAGCTGGTATTCGGTCTATAATGGAGTGGCCAGCACAGTCACCGGATCTCAACCCTATTGAGCTGTTGTGGGAGCAGCTTGACCGTATGGTACGTAAGAAGTGCCCATCAAGCCAATCCAACTTGTGGGAGGTGCTTCAGGAAGCATGAGGTGAAATCTCTTCAGATTACCTCAACAAATTGACAACTAGAATGCCAAAGGTCTGCAAGGCTGTAATTGCTGCAAATGGATGATTCTTTGACGAAAGCAAAGTTTGAAGGACACAATTATTATTTCAATTAAAAATCATTATTTCTAACCTTGTCAATGACTACATTTCCTATTCATTTTGCTATATTTCCTATTCAAACTCATTTCATGTATGTTTTCATGGAAAACAAGGATATTTCTAAGTGACCCCAAACTTTGAACGGTAGTGTATATATCTGAAGTAAAGAAACAACACATTCTTACTGTACAAATCATAGAAAGTTCTTACCGAAAAACAACCTTCTCCTGGATGCTGTCTGCACAAAATCATTAGGAGGCATTCCAAGTACCTAAGAAATAAAAGAACAGAATGTTCTTGAATGGTGATGGATAAATGGATTCCTAAAAACATCCAACATCAGATACTCCAATTGGCTAGCGCTGTGGTCTGAGGCTGTATGTCTGCAGGTGGTTGGTTCTGTACCTCCATGATGCACGCAATCTGCTCCACCTCACTCTCCCCAGGAAATAGGGGGAAGCCGGTGTAGAGCTCAGCCATGATGCAGCCCAGACTCCACATGTCGATGGCCATGCTGTAGGGGTGGCCCAGGATAACCTCTGGGGAGCGGTAGAAACGACTCTGGATGTAGGTGTAGACTAGACAAGGAGAAAGAGAGAGTAGAAAGAGGGAGAGAGAGAGAGGGAGACGAGAGGGAGAACAGAGAGAGAGGAGAGAGAGGAGAGAGGAGAGAGAGGAGAGAGAGAGGGGAGAGAGGAGGACAGAGAGGACAGAGAGAGGGAGAGAGAGAGGAGAGAGGAGAGAGAGCGGGAGAGAGAGAGAGAGAGGAGAGAGAGGGAGAGAGAGAGAGAGGGAGAGAGAGGAGAGGAGAGAGAGGGAGAGAGAGGGAGAGAGAGCGGGAGAGAGGAGAGAGGGAGAGAGAGAGAGGGGAGAGAGAGGGAGAAAGAGGGAGAGAGAGAGGGAGAGAGAGAGAGGGAGAGAGGGAGAGAGGGAGAGAGAGGGAGAAAGAGGGAGGGAGCGGAGTTAATGTTAACATTCTGAGTGCTGTGGCTTTGGAGATTTTAATATCAGACTTTTAATTAGGTATTTAATCAGGTGAGTCACACCTCTCTGCTGCTCATAACAGCTGGACCCAAAGTCAACCACCTTGATATTTCCTTGTCCTTTCTGAGACAGAAGTATGTTCTCCTTTTGTGAAAAAAGAGAAACAATGTCAATTTGACATTTTCCAAGATACCAATCAAAGTGCAACCAACTTATTTCCTCTGCAGTGCACTGGTACTGTGCATTAGCATGTCTGACTCCTCAGCTGGGTATTATTTGTGTTGTTACTGTTCCATATAGAGCCATTACAACATATGGGGATTTGTGGAACCTTACCGGTTTGAGGTCACAGTGGATGATCTTCTCCTTATGCAGCATCTGCAGGCACTTGAGCAGGGAGTGGGTGAAACAACGGTTCAGGGCCAGACTGAAGCCCTGGAAGTTGTTCTTCTTGATCAGCTCATACAAGTTGACTCTATAAGAAGACAGAAAGACAATAATTTAGAGAACTGGTCAAATGATAAAATGTCTGTCACTATTCCCAGTCTTTCTCTGCTTTTTTTCCCCCACCACTGCATGGAGGGTTTGGCCTCAAATGTAATAGTTTATTAGTCCTCTAGAGGCCAGCACTATACTGCTTTTTAAAAAATCATGGTATAGCTCAGTCAAATCTAGCAAGACCATGCAATTTAGTAATAAGATATAAAAAACGAAGTGAACACCATTATATTGCATGCTAAATCAGATTACTTAACAGTCTTGAATGTCTTAACATTAAGAAGAGAGACTCTCTGAGAGTTATTCTTTGTATTTCTCAATACATCTGGGAAGTACAAACTTCTCTGGCTGGTGTAACCAGAGACTTCACACCGCGAGCAGGCAGAGGAAAGAGATAGAGCTCTAACCAAGCCATTAACTAAGGGATTGGGTGACGGTAATGTTAGACAGGGCAAGGTGGCAGTCCAAGACGTCTACTAAAGGTCAGCAAGCCTGGTATAGAAGATGATCTTGTCTCAGAGGGAACCTAAAGCTAGTTGAGGCAGATTGTTCTAGGTAGGACGCTCACTTTGCTCAAGTAGTGTAGCATTTTAAGTGACTAGTGATAAGCAAGCTGTGTATGTAATAGGGGAGTTCAGGGCTTAAGTCCTGTTGCTGTACCTCAGGAGAGGTGCCTAACCTTGAATACCTTTGATTAACACATGAATTACTCAGGGTTCCATTTATCTTCTACCGGGACTATTTTGTTTGTGTGTGTGTGTGTGCATGTTTGTATGTTTGTGCGTGTGATTGCTTTAATCATCATTTCAGGTGTCTTATAATAGTGTTATACATACAGAGCTTCAAGTTCCTTGGTGTCCACATCACCAACGAACTATCATGGTCCAAACACACCAAGACAGTCGTGAAGAGGGCACGACAAAGCCTATTCCCCCTCAGGAGACTGAAAAGATTTGGCATGGGTCCTCAGATCCTCAAAAAATTATACAGCTGCACCATCGAGAGCATCCTGACTGGTTGCATCACCGCCTGGTATGGCAACTGCTTGGCCTCCGACCGCAAGGCACTACAGAGGGTAGTGCGTACGGCCCAGTACATCACTGGGGCCAAGCTTCCTGCCATCCAGGACCTCTATACCAGGCGGTGTCAGAGGAAAGCCCTCAAAATTGTCAAAGACTCCAGCCACCCTAGTCATAGACTGTTCTCTCTGCTACCGCACGGCAAGCGGTTACCGGAGTGCCAAGTCTAGGTCCAAAAGACTTCTCAACAGCTTCTACCCCCAAGCCATAAGACTCCTGAACAGCTAATCATGGCTACCCAGACTATTTGCACTGCCCCCCCACCCCATCCTTTTACGCTGCTGCTACTCTGTTAATTATTTATGCATAGTCACTTTAACTCTGCCCACATGTACATATTACTTCAACTACCTCAACTAGCCGGTGCCCCCGCACATTGACTCTGCACCGGCAACCCCCTGTATATATAGCCTCCCTACTGTTATTTTATTTTACTTCTGCTCTTTTTTTCTCAACACTTTTTTTGTTGTTTATTTTTTTTTATTTTTTGTTAAAAATAAATGCACTGTTGGTTAAGGGCTGTAAGTAAGCATTTCACTGTAATGTCTGCACCTGTTGTATTCGGCGCATGTGGCCAATAACATTTGTTTTGATTTGATTTGATTTGACAACACACTACACTCACCCTAGCAGCTCGAAGGAGATGCAGAGATGGTTGCGGAAGTAGAAATATTCTTTCATATGGATGACATTGTGGCAGTTTTCCCTGTCTTTCCTCCTCACAGCATCCAGGATCTTCAGTTCCACTAGGGCCTGGTGGTGAAACCTACAGTCCAATGTAAGAGTTAGTTAGAGTTAGTCACGGCTCCATTCTGGATTTAACCATTCAAAATAAAAAAACGTGACTGATTTTGATTGACAAGCTTTCGTTTTGCAGTGACCATGGAACATCTCCTAGCTAATATTTTTAAATTCCAGTTTTAATTTCCTTTGATGTGAAAAATTATGACAGCTGCAAAGAAGGGAGAATCTCCTCTCCCAGGAGAAACAGGATCTTTGAGAGGGCTTAGTTCAAGACAAGGTCCCAGTGGCGAGACCAAGACAGCCCTAAGGCGGTAAGCGCCCATTTTGTTTTCTGCATTATTGAAGGGCAGTAAGAACTGATGGCATCTGCATCAATCAAAGTCAAAGAGGAGGAGGCGGAGTTCCATTGACACACAGACTGCATTGGATCACCTGAGAGAGGACAGGTAAAGCAATACCGAGGTAACTCCTTTGGATAACTGACCTGACGTCACCTGACGGTACTGACCTCACACAAGAAGGTCTGTTTCAGAGTCTTTGAGCACTGGATGCGTATTCAAGTGCATGTAGCAAAATGTTTTGTTTGTACCTTTTCTTATTGCGAATGACCTTGATGGCGACCAGCTCGTGGGTCTTGTGGTCCAGACATTTCAGGACCTGTCCAAAGGATCCTTTCCCAATCACCTCCAGCACCTCGAAGCGGAAGCCAATGTGGTCGTGCAGAACCTGGATACGGAACAGACAGAACATTCAATAGGATATTTTTGTGTACTGTGTGTATGGTATGTTGGACAATAATTTTAAATACAAGAGCCTCACTGCATGTACTTAACTGGTAGCTCATGATACAATGACATCCTTCCTGATGTTTTTTTATAATGACTACATACAGTGAGGGAAAAAAGTATATGATCCCCTGCTGATTTTGTACGTTTGCCCACTGACAAAGAAATGATCAGTCTATAATTTTAATGGTAGGTTTATTTGAACAGTGAGAGACAGAATAACAACAACAATTTTCATGAGATAAATAAGTATTTGACCCCTCTACAAAACATGACTTAGTACTTGGTGGCAAAACCCTTGTTGGCAATCACAGAGGTCAGACGTTTCTTGTAGTTGGCCACCAGGTTTGCACACATCTCAGGAGGGATTTTGTCCCACTCCTCTTTGCAGATCTTCTTCGAGTCATTAAGGTTTCGAGGCTGACGTTTGGCAACTTGAACCTTCAGCTCCCTCCACATATTTTCTATGGGATTAAGGTCTGGAGACTGGCTAGGCCACTCCAGGACCTTAATGTGCCTCTTCTTGAGCCACTCCTTTGTTGCCTTGGCCGTGTGTTTTGGGTCATTGTTATGCTAGAATACCAATCCACGACCCATTTTCAATGCCCTGGCTGAGGGAAGGAGGTTCTCACCCAATATTTGACGATACATGGCCCGTCCACCGTCCACCTTAGCAGAAAAACACCCCCAAAGCATAATGTTTTCACCTCCATGTTTGACGGTGGGGAAGGTGTTCTTGGGGTCATAGGCAGCATTCCTCCTCCTCCAAACACGGTGAGTTGAGTTGATGCCAAAGAGCTCCATTTTGGTCTCATCTGACCACAACACTTTCACCCAGTTCTCCTCTGAATCATTCAGATGTTCATTGGCAAACTTCAGATGGGCATGTATATGTGCTTTCTTGAGCAGGGGGACCTTGTGGGCGCTGCAGGATTTCAGTCCTTCACGGCGTAGTGTGTTACCAATTGTTTTCTTGGTGACTATGGTCCCAGCTGCCTTGAGATCATTGACAAGATCCTCCCGTGTAGTTCTGGGCTGATTCCTCACCGTTTTCATGATCATTGCAACTCATGATCAGAGCTACTTCTCCAGGAAACAAATGTTGGGAGTGACTGAAAGAACTAGAGAGAAGCGGCAGCCTATAGTAGAAGAAGGGATGTCTGAAATGACAATGAGTGACACGGGTAAAGCACAGGTGCCTAGATAAGGTTTCATATGTTACACCTCAATTATGTACGTCTGTAAACAATAGCTGGAACGACCGAGCGAACAGACGCGAACTGGCTGAGTCAATTCAGTGGCTAGCTTTGCACTTGGCTAGCTAACAGTAGCTGCTAGGGGTAAGTCATAACCTACATTTGTGTTTTGTTTTTTACATATTGATAGCCCGAGTCGTTCAAGGAATTCGGAACATGGGTGACTAGTTAACGTTAGTTTGGCTCTCTCTGTGTGTTCGTGCCGTGAAAGGAGGGGTTCTTCTTTGTCTGAAAGCAATGGCTAGCTAGTTTGCTAACTATTCTAGCTAACTAACTGGCTGAATAAGTTGACGACGGACTCGCTCAAGCTGTCGGGACTAACCCACAACGTTAGACACGGACACGAACGATCTGCTTGCCTGTTGATACACTGGTGGTTTGTTGTGGCCGAGTATTGGCGCTAAACTGTGTTGTTGGAGTCCGGCATGCTAGCTGGCTGTGGCGTCTTATGACTAAGTGCCCGGACGATTTTCACGGAATAATACTGCACCTAGTTAGCTAGCTGAATAAACTAAGTTAGTCTATTCCTAGAAAACATTGAACCGCTGTAGTTTACAACAATTATAGTTTCTGAGGTGGAAGTTGGGAGAGTTATATTTGGGAGTTGTGGTGAGGGAGGCCCCGCTCTCTCCTTTCCCAGATGTTTAGTTCATTTCATTCCAATCTCCTCTGCATTATTGTAGCCATCTGCTGCAGCCTGTCAACTATGCCTCTGCCTATCCCTGTTCTCTCCTCTCCGCACAGGCTACACAAACGCCTCACACCGCGTGGCTGCTGCCTCTCTAACCTGGTGGTCCCTGCACGCACCACCCACGTGGAGTTCCAGGTCTCAGGCAGCCTCTGGAACTGCCGTTCTGCTGCCAACAAGGCAGAGTTCATCTCAGCCTATGCTACCTTCCAGTCCCTCGACTTCTTGGCGCTCACGGAAACATGGATTACCACTGAAAACACTGCTACTCCTACTGCTCTCTCCTCGTCTGACCATGTGTTCTCGCATACCCCGAGAGCATCTGGTCAGCGGGGTGGTGGCACAGAAATCCTCATTTCTCCCAAGTGGACATTCTCAATTTTTCCCCTGACCCATCTGTCTATCTCCTCATTTGAATTCCATGCTGTCACAGTCACTAGCCCATTTAAGCTGAATATCCTTGTCATCTATCGCCCTCCAGGTTACCTTGGAGAGTTCATCAATGAGCTTGACGCCTTGATAAGTTCCTTTCCTGAGGATGGCTCACCCCTCACAGTTCTGGGGGATTTCAACCTCCCTACGTCTACATTTGACTCATTTCTCTCTGCCTCCTTCTTTCCACTCCTCTCCTCTTTTGACCTCACCCTCTCACCGTCCCCCCCTACTCACAAGGCAGGCAATACGCTTGACCTCATCTTTACTAGATGCTGTTCTTCTACTAATCTCACTGCAACTCCCCTCCATGTCTCCGACCACTACTTTGTATCCTTTTCTCTCTCGCTCTCCTCCAACACTACTCACTCTGCCCCTACACAGATGGTAATGCGCCGTCGCAACCTTCGCTCTCTCTCTCCCGCTACTCTCTCCTCTTCCATCCTATCATCTCTTCCCTCTGCTCAATCCTTCTCCCTCCAATCTCCTGATTCTGCCTCCTCAACCCTTTGACTCTCTATGTCCCCTATCCTCCCGGCCGGCTCGTTCCTCCCCTCCAGCTCCGTGGCTTGATGACTCATTGCGAGCTCACAGAACAGAGCTCCGGGCAGCTGAGCGGAAATGGAAGAAAACTAGACTCCCTGCGGACCTGGCATCTTTTCACTCCCTCCTCTCTACATTTTCTTCATCTGTTTCTGCTGCTACGGCCACTTTCTACCACTCTAAATTCCAAGCATCTGCCTCTAACCCTAGGAAGCTCTTTGCCACATTCTCCTCCCCGCTGAATCCCCCCCCCCCCCCCCCCTCTGTGGATGACTTCGTCAACCATTTTGAAAAGAAGGTTGACGACATCCGATCCTCGTTTGTTAAGTCAAATGACACTGCTAGTCCTGCTCACACTGCCCTACCCTATGCTTTGACTTCTTTCTACCCTCTCTCTCCAGATAAAATCTTGCGACTTGTGACGGCAGGCCGCCCAACAACCTGCCCGCTTGACCCTATCCCCTCCTCTCTTCTCCAGACCATCTCCGGTGACCTTCTCCCTTACCTCACCTCGCTGATCAACTCATCCTTGACCGCTGGCTATGTCCCTTCCGTCTTCAAGAGAGCGAGAGTTGCACCCCTTCTCAAAAAACCAACACTCGATCCCTCTGATGTCAACAACTACAGACCAGTATCCCTTCTTTCTTTTCTCTCCAAAATTATTGAGCGTGCCGTCTTTAGCCAACTCTCTTGCTATCTCTCTCAGAATGACCTTCTTGATCCAAACCAGTCAGGTTTCAAGACTGGTCATTCAACTGAGACTGCTCTTCTCTGTGTCACGGAGGCTCTCCGCACTGCTAAAGCTAACTCTCTCTCCTCTGCTCTTGTCCTTCTAGACCTGTCTGCTGCCTTTGATACTGTGAACCATCAGATCCTCCTCTCCACCCTCTCCGAGCTGGGCATCTCCGGCGCGGCTCACTCTTGTATTGCGTCCTACCTGACCGGTCGCTCCTACCAAGTGGCGTGGCGAGAAGCTGTCTCCGCACCACGTGCTCTCACCACTGGTGTCCCCCAGGGCTCAGTTCTAGGCCCTCTCCTATTCTCCCTATACACCAAGTCACTTGGCTCTGTCATATCCTCACATGGCCTCTCCTATCATTGCTACGGTGACGACACACAACTAATCTTCTCCTTTCCCCCTTCTGATAACCAGGTGGCGAATCGCATCTCTGCATGTCTGGCAGACATATCAGTATGGATGACGGATCACCACCTCAAGCTGAACCTTGGCAAGACGGAGCTGCTCTTCCTCCCGGGGAAGGACTGCCTGTTCCATGATCTCGCCATCACGGTTGACAACTCCGTTGTGTCCTCCTCCCAGAGTGCGAAGAGCCTTGGCGTGACCCTGGACAACACCCTGTCGTTCTCCGCTAACATCAAGGCGGTGACCCGATCCTGTAGGTTCATGCTCTACAACATTCGGAGAGTACGACCCTGCCTTACACAGGAAGCGGCACAGGTCCTAATCCAGGCACTTGTCATCTCCCGTCTGGATTACTGCAACTCGCTGTTGGCTGGGCTCCCTGCCTGTGCCATTAAACCCCTACAACTCATCCAGAATGCCGCAGCCCGTCTGGTGTTCAACCTTCCCAAGTTCTCTCACGTCACCCCGCTCCTCCGCACACTCCACTGGCTTCCAGTTGAAGCTCGCATCTGCTACAAGACCATGGTGCTTGCCTACGGAGCTGTGAGGGGAACGGCACCTCCGTACCTTCAGGCTCTGATCAGTCCCTACACCCAAACGAGGGCATTGCGTTCATCCACCTCTGGCCTGCTGGCTCCCCTACCTCTGCGGAAGCATAGTTCCCGCTCAGCCCAGTCAAAACTGTTCGCTGCTCTGGCACCCCAATGGTGGAACAAGTTCCCTCACGACACCAGGACAGCGGAGTCACTCACCACCTTCAGGAGACATTTGAAACCCCACCTCTTTAAGGAATACCTGGGATAGGATAAAGTAATCCTTCTACCCCCCCCCCTTACCCCAACCCAACCCAAACCCCAACCCCCCCAAAAAAATATATATATAAAAAAATTTAAAAAATAGATAGAAAAACTATAAAATACATAAAGAAAAAAAATATTTAAAAAAACATTGTATAGTAGGGATCCCACTGGCTATAAGGTGAATGCACCTATTTGTAAGTCGCTCTGGATAAGAGCGTCTGCTAAATGACGTAAATGTAAAATGTAACTCCACGAGGTGAGATCTTGCATGGAGCCCCAGGCCGAGGGAGATTGACAGTTATTTTGTGTTTCTTCCATTCCATTTGTGAATAATCGCACCAACTGTTGTCACCTTCTCACCAAGCTGCTTGGCGATGGTCTTGTAGCCCATTCCAGCCTTGTGTAGGTCTACAATCTTGTCCCTGACATCCTTGGAGAGCTCTTTGGTCTTGGCCATGGTGGAGAGTTTGGAATCTGATTGATTGATTGCTTCTGTGGACAGGTGTCTTTTATACAGGTAACAAACTGAGATTAGGAGCACTCCCTTTAAGAGTGTGCTCCTAATCTCAGCTCGTTACCTGTATAAAAGACACCTGGGAGCCAGAAATCTTTCTGATTGAGAGGGGGTCAAATACTTATTTCCCTAATTAAAATGCAAATCAATTTATAACATTTGTGACATGCGTTTTTCTGGATTATTTTGTTGTTATTCTGTCTCTCACTGTTCAAATAAACCTACCATTAAAATTATAGAAAATTATCATTTGTTTGTCAGTGGGCAAACGTACAAAATCAGCAGGTGATCAAATACTTTTTTCCCTCACTGTAAGGCACATTTGCCCTACTTCCAGTGCCAAACACTAGTTCATTGACATTTACATTTTAGTCATTTAGCAGATGCTCTTATCCAGAGTGACTTACAGTTAGTGCATTCATCTTAAGATCGCTAGGTGAGACAGTATATCACAGTCGTAGCAAGTACATTTTCCCTCAATAAAGTAGTTATCAGCAAAGTCAGTGCTAGTAGGAAAAGTTAGTTAGTTAAAAAGTTAATTAAAACTAGGTAAAGTTAGTTAAAAAGTTAGTTAAAGTTAGTTAGTTAAAAGTTAGTTAAAAAGTTAGTTAAAGTTAGTTAGTTAAAAGTTAGGTGAAGTTAGTTAGTTACAAGTTAGTTAAAGTTAGGTCAAGTTAGTTAGTTAAAAGTTAGTTAAAGTTAGGAAAAGTTAGTTAGTTAAAAGTTAGTTCATAATAATACTGCTCCTGTGTTGTTTCATTTGGTTATTTAGCTGAGCATCTGTCATGACTTGACTAGTTCTGTGTGACCTAGAGGTTACCATGAATGGGGGCATAGGGCCATGAGTCTAAATAATGTTCACAGTCAGTCTCCCTGTGACAGCACATTCATACAGAATGGAATAAGACACTAAATGCCTGTGGATAGTCAGTTAGGCTCACATGGCAGTTTGGCTAGAGTGCATGGGACTTCTGTTCTTGTGCCTTAGCATAATTTCACTGCAGTTTATTGTGAAGTTGAGAGATAGGTCAGTTTGATGGTCTGACTGGTTATATCACAGCAAACAAACAAACAAATCATCTTACACCTTAACCCAAGGAACCACAAGAATAATGACACATTTCTATTCAAATCATTGATGTAACTGTACCTTGTTGTAGCTGCCGTGCTCGTCGTCGTAGCCTGCATTCTGAGGAATTCCGTGAGAGGCCTCGATCTTCTTAGTCTCCAGACCCAGGAACCAGATCTCTGAGTAGTCCATGATCTCCTCCTGCTCAAACTCTGTCAGACGCCCCTGGAAGTGCCTCAGTGCCTCTGTGGGAGACATGGGCAGCCTCAGTCCCTCATAAAGCTTTGTCTCCTCCAGCTTGTTGCTGAGACCCTTGGTGGTGATAGAGTCAGCCAGGTTCTCCACTGAGGAGCCGAACCATGTGGAGAACTGGGAGGAGGGCTTTGGTCTCTCATCCTGCCAATCACAAAAGGGATCAAGAGGTCAGTTGATCTGTCCTCTCAACACTTAGGCTCTGTCACTAAGCGTAACCCTGATGAAACGGCTCTCACTTCCTTTTACATTACTGGGATATTGCATGTCAGCTGAGCGGTTTCACTTGAAGATGTATAAACTATCAAGGACTTACTATCATGTGCATTTACAATAGACAACTAGAGTCAAGTGAACTACTTTTGGACGCCAACAGTATAGTGTGACACAGTGTGAAATGTAGCCTCACCTGGTGTGTCTGGTAGCTGTTCTGCAGCTCCTTGTTGGCGATGTGGGGCAGGATGCTATCGGACTGCTGGTGGTGGAGTTTGGCATTGCTGACAACCACCTGTATAACCGGGGGCTCCAGCTGGGGCAAGGTCCCTATGCCCGAGTTCAACTTCTACAAGAGAGAGAAGGGTTCAAATAAAAAAAGTATTTTTAAAATATGCAGATGAAAACATTAAAAGTGTAATAACATATTGTATCGTCATAACTAGTCTCGCTTGCCAGACTCATGGTGCTCTAACCCCAGTTGTGTCAGAGTTACAGCGGCTGTTGGAAGAGACTATGTGATCACATATTTTACGGACAAGATGGGAAAAAGGAGGGAGAGGGGGAATTGGAGGGAGAAATAAAGGGAGGTAGAGAGTGCTACATCCGTTCTAATTGTGGTGGCGAGGGTAACCAGGACCCCCAGGGTTGAGGGTGGAATTACTCAGCAGGGTGAGAGTGAGGCCGGGACAAAAGCCTGGAGACTGAGCCCTGACAGTCTGTCAGTGCTAGCTGCTGCTGAGGGGGATCTGAACTGGAGCAGGCCTTTCTCTAGCTGCCATCCTGCTTGCAGTAGGAGCACGTTTACATATGTCACTGGCTGCCTTGCAGGCATAGCTAAACTAATGATGGGGGAAAGGAGACCTCTTACCTAGGCTACGACAGGGATCATGAGTTTATTAAGAATTTTTTAAAAAATTGTACATGCCAGTAACAGATTTAATGACTTCCTACATGGCAATGGCAATGTATCTGCCTATATAACTAACATGTAAATACAAAGGTATTATTAGGGCCAGTTATTGTAAAGTGGAACCAGTAGCTCTTTATCCGTTTGCTTTGGTTACAGCAAGCACAGCAGCCCAAAACACCAACCCAGTCTATACATAGCGGTGATATTTAATCGCACGTGCACAGGCTGCTGCAGTAGCTTCCAACTTGGTTATGACGCATAGAGACACAGGCTAAATATAGTTCCAAGGACCTGCTACAACAAGCAAATGGTAAATACAGTATCATGCCTGCACACAACTGGAGTCAGGGCAGGCTGACTAGGTAATGAAAAGAGAACCATGGTGCTCTCCCAGAAGCTTGGCTGGAGCGTAAAACCTGCAAATTCAGACAAACAAAGGGGTGTAATGGGTTCGCACTCAAAAAGATGTCACATAAAGCTTACTTCATTATTCAATGTTTTTAATTTTTTACTACACAGACGTTTACTACACAGACGTTTACTACACAGACGTTTACTACACAGACGTTTACTACACAGACGTTTACTACACAGACGTTTACTACACAGACGTTTCGAGTTTACAGCCTTCTTCAGTGTGTAGGTACAATTTTATTTAATTCAAAACAGCATTTGTAAAGACCAACAGATGAGCAGCAGGCTGATTAGGTACACTCTTAGAAAAAAAGGTGCTATCTAGAACCTAAAAGGGTTCTTCGGGTGTCCCCTTTGAATAACCCTTTTTGGTTCCAGGTAGAACCCTTTTGCGTTCCATGTAGAATCCTTTCCACAGAATCCGTTCTACATGGAACCCAAAATAGTTCTACCAGGAACCAAAAAAGGTTATCCTCTTGGGACAGCCAAAGAACCCTTTTGGAACCCTTTTTCTAAGAGTGTAGGCTACTATACTGTGTTCTTAAACACATCCTGGTCTATTGACAGTGAGGACTGCTTTAAGTTCATCACTGTAAATGGAAGGCCAAAGTTATCCCCTGGAGTTGTCATTCACTAACAACATTAAACATTTACTCCCAATAGCATGAGCTAGCTAGGGTAGTGAGTTTTGGTGGAGTGAAGGGGGAGGGCACTGCATAGACAGAAAGATACAGGATTGAAAAAGAGTGGGTCTGTAGGGGCTCAAATGTTCTACAGGTCAGGGGTCACCAGTGAGTAAAGGCTCACCTGTGAATAGGGTCGGTTGGTTGCCTGTTGGGTCTGGAGTCTGTGTGAGTGGGGGAAGGCCTCTGGTCTAGAAGACTGTGGAGGAAAGGAATATGGGAGACTTCACTTAACATTACATTTACACACAGAACTTCTCTACACCTCCCGAGTGGCGCAACGTTCTAAGGCACTGCATCTCAGTGCTTGAGGCGTCACTACAGACCCCCTGGTTCGATTCCAGGCTGTATCACAACCGGCCGTGATAGGGCGACGCACAATTGGCCCAGCGTCGTCCGGGTTTGGCCGTTGTAGGCCGTCATTGTAAATAAGAATTTGTTCTTAGCTGACTTGCCTAGTTAAATAAAGGTAAAATTAAAAAATTAAAATAAACACCTGCATAGATTACGTTTTGTTAAATAGATTAAATATGACTCATAACAAGTGATTGAGGTCTGAATCTGAATTATGAACCACATATTTTTAGTAACCGAAACTGATGAACTTCAAAGTATCTCTGTGAATGAGGAGAATAAATAGCCTGATTGTTGCTGGTGGGTGTTTCAAGCCCAGCACAGCGGTGGGTCTCACAGATAGATACAGCCTGTGGGCAGTGAAGTAGGATTACTACCATGCAAGCAAAGATGATGCACACTCTCCAAAATTAGAGTATCTTATGCAATTAACTACCACAGTAACAATGGTCTCGTTATCCTCAGTCTTTCCACAAGCTGCATTTCTTTACTGGAGCATAGGCTTGTTAACCTCTGATGTTCTATGAAGAGTGTAAGGTAGTCGGGAGAGGACGTGTTTTTCTCTAGCTCTCTAGCTCTCTAGCTGGAGGTAAGCAAACTTCTCATTTGGTGTTGAGTATAGCTTAACCATGCATTAGATCGTAGGTTGGTAGTTAGTTGTAGTTAGGTATTGTATTTATTATAGGTTAGTATTGTTGTTATTGTAGGTTTCCGTAGGTTATTGTAGGCTAGTATTGAAGCTCGAGGCTAGCTAGCTCTCTAGCTGGAGGTAAGCAAACTTCTCATTTGGTGTTGAGTATAGCTTAACCATGCATTAGATCGTAGGTTGGTAGTTAGTTGTAGTTAGGTATTGTATTTATTATAGGTTAGTATTGTTGTTATTGTAGGTTATTGTAGGTTAGTATCGAAGCACGAGGCTAGCTAGCTAGCGGGTAGCTACTGGTAACGATTAGCTGTTCCCACTGTTAAATGTGCTTCTAGCCAACGTTTAATTTTTGCTGCGTTCTGCGTTGCTGCGTTCTGCGTTATGTAAGGAACTAGACACGGACATGAATCATCTGTTTAGTGTGCTAGTGTGCTAACACACTCTTGGCAGTTTGTTGTAACCAAGTATTGGTGCTAATTGTGTGTTAATGGATGCTAGCTTGCTAGTTAGCTACGGCGTCATAGCTAGGTATCGTGGGTAGCTACTGTGTCTTGGCAGTGTCTTCCGCCGTGCCGGCTGTAGCACGAAGCGAGCTAATTAGCCGTTTTTTCGAACAGAGTCAGAGTCAACACAGTAGCCATTGTGTGCCGGGTGTAGCACGAAGCTAGCTAGCTAGCCGTTCTTCAAACAAAGCCAACACAGTGGCCATTGCTAGCTACCCAGCACGACCAGCGAACGGTGCGGTAGTAGCTAATTACAATATACTTGTCCTAGCTAGCCAATGTTGAATCATTGCTGCGTCATGAAAGGAACTTGACACAGACACGAATGATCTGTTTAGTGTGTTATCACACTATTGGTGGTTTGCTGTGACCAAGTGTTTGTGCTTGGCTGTGTGTTACTGGATGCTGGCATGCTGGTTAGCTAGTTAACACACTATTGGTGGTTTGTTGTGAGTATTGGTGCTTAACTGTGTGTTAAACTGTGTGTTATTGGATGCTAGCATGCTAGTCAGCTATGGTGTCATAGTTGGCTAGCTGAATAAAGTGGGTTTGAGTTTATTCCTTTAAACATTGAACAACTGTTCAGTGAAACAATTTTAGTTTCTGAGGTAGAAGTTTTTGGTGAGGGAGGCCCCCCTCTCTCCTCTCCCAGATGCTTAGCTCATTTCATTCCGATCTCCTCTGCATTTTTGTAGCCATTTGCTACAGCCTGTCAACTATGCCTCTGCCTATCCCTGTTCTCTCGTCTCTGCACAGGCTACACAAACAACGCACAACACCGCGCGGCTGCTGCCTCTCCAACCTGGTGGTCCCTGCTCGCACCCCTCACCTGGAGTTCCAGGTCGCAGGCAGCCTCTGGAACTGCCGTTCTGCTGCCAACAAAGCTGACTTCATCCCAGCCTATGCCAACCTCCAGTCCCTCGACTTCCTGGCGCTGACGGAAACATGGATCACCACTGAAAACACGGCTACTCCTACTGCTCTCTCCTCGTCTGACCATGTGTTCTCGCATACCCCGAGAGCATCTGGTCAGAGGGGTGGTGGTACAGGAATCCTCATCTCTCCCAAGTGGACATTCTCAATTTTTCCCCTAACCCATCTGTCTATCTCCTCATTTGAATTCCATGCTGTCACAGTCACTAACCCATTTAAGCTTAATATCCTTGTCATCTATCGCCCTCCAGGTTCCCTTGGAGAGTTCATCAACGAGCTTGACGCCTTGATAAGTTCCTTTCCTGAGGATGGCTCACCCCTCACAGTTTTGGGGGATTTCAACCTCCCTATGTCCACGTTCGACTCATTTCTCTCTGCCTCCTTCTTTCCACTCCTCTCCTCTTTTGACCTCACCCTCTCACCGTCCCCCCCTACTCACAAGGCAGGCAATACGCTTGACCTCATCTTCACTAGATGCTGCTCCTCTACTAATCTCACTGCAACTCCCCTCCAAGTCTCCGACCACTACTTTGTTTCCTTTTCTCTCTCGCTCTCCTCCCACACTACTCACTCTGCCCCTACACAGATGGTAATGCGCCGCCGCAACCTTCGCTCTCTCTCTCCCACTACTCTCTCCTCTTCCATCCTATCATCTCTTCCCTCTGCTCAATCCTTCTCCCTCCAATCTCCTGATTCTGCCTCCTCAACCCTCCTCTCCTCCCTTTCTGCATCCTTTGACTCTCTGTGTCCCCTATCCTCCCGGCCGGCTCGGTCCTCCCCCCCAGCTCCGTGGCTTGATGACTCACTGCGAGCTCACAGAACAGAGCTCCGGGCAGCGGAGAGGAAATGGAAGAAAACTAAACTCCCTACCGACCTGGCATCTTTTCACTCCCTCCTCTCTACATTTTCTTCATCTGTTTCTGCTGCTAAGGCCACCTTCTACCACTCTAAATTCCAAGCATCTGCCTCTAACCCTAGGAAGCTCTTTGCCACATTTTCCTCCCTCCTGAATCCTCCTCCCCCCCCCCCCCCCCCTCCTCTCTCTCTGTGGATGACTTCGTCAACCACTTTGAAAAGAAGGTTGACGACATCCGATCCTCGTTTGTTAAGTCTAATAACACTGCTGGTCCTGCTCACACTGCCCTACCCTATGCTTTGACTTCTTTCTCCCCTCTCTCTCCAGATAAAATCCTGCGACTTGTGACTGCAGGCCGCCCAACAACCTGCCCGCTTGACCCCATCCCCTCCTCCCTTCTCCAGACCATCTCCGGTGACCTTCTCCCCTACCTCACCTCGCTGATCAACTCATCCTTGACCGCTGGCCATGTCCCTTCCGTCTTCAAGAGAGCGAGAGTTGCTCCCCTCCTCAAAAAACCAACACTCGACCCCACTGATGTCAACAACTACAGACCAGTATCCCTTCTTTCTTTTCTTTCCAAAACTATTGAGCGTGCCGTCTTTAGCCAACTCTCTTGCTATCTCTCTCAGAATGACCTTCTTGATCCAAACCAATCAGGTTTCAGGACTGGTCATTCAACTGAGACTGCTCTTCTCTGTGTCACGGAGACTCTCCGCACTGCTAAAGCTAACTCTCTCTCCTCTGCTCTTGTCCTTCTAGACCTGTCTGCTGCCTTTGATACTGTGAACCATCAGATCCTCCTCTCCACCCTCTCCGAGATGGGCATCTCCGGCGCGGCTCACTCCTGGATTGCGTCCTACCTGACCGGTCGCTCCTACCAAGTGGCGTGGCGGGAAGCTGTCTCCGCACCACGTGCTCTCACCACTGGTGTCCCCCAGGGATCGGTTCTGGGCCCTCTCCTTTTCTCCCTATACACCAAGTCACTTGGCTCTGTCATATCCTCACATGGTCTCTCCTATCATTGCTACGCTGACGATACACAACTAATCTTCTCCTTTCCCCCTTCTGATAACCAGGTGGCGAATCGCATCTCTGCATGTCTGGCAGACATATCAGTATGGATGACGGATCACCACCTCAAGCTGAACCCTGGCAAGACGGAGCTGCTCTTCCTCCCGGGGAAGGACTGCCCGTTCCATGATCTCGCCATCACGGTTGACAACTCCGCTGTGTCCTCCTCCCAGAGTGCGAAGAGCCTAGGCGTGACCCTGGACAACACCCTGTCGTTCTCCGCCAACATCAAGGCGGTGACCCGCTCCTGCAGGTTCATGCTCTACAACATTCGGAGAGTGCGACCCTGCCTTACACAGGAAGCGGCGCAGGTCCTGGTCCAGGCACTTGTCATCTCCCGTCTGGACTACTGCAACTCGCTGTTGGCTGGGCTCCCTGCCTGTGCCATTAAACCCCTACAACTCATCCAGAATGCCGCAGCCCGTCTGGTGTTCAACCTTCCCAAGTTCTCTCACGTCACCCCCCTCCTCCGCACACTCCACTGGCTTCCAGTTGAAGCTCGCATCCGCTACAAGACCATGGTGCTTGCCTATGGAGCAGTGAGGGGAACGGCACCTCTGTACCTTCAGGCTCTGATCAGTCCCTACACCCAAACGAGGACATTGCGTTCATCCACCTCTGGCCTGCTGGCTCCCCTTCCTCTGCGGAAGCACAGCTCCCGCTCAGCCCAGTCAAAACTGTTCGCTGCTCTGGCACCCCAATGGTGGAACAAGCTTCCTCACGACGCCAGGACAGCGGAGTCACTCACCACCTTCCGGAGACATTTGAAACCCCACCTCTTTAAGGAATACCTGGGATAGGATAAAGTATTCCTTCTAACCCCCCCCCCCCCCCCCCCCCCCCCCCCAAATTGTAAAGTGGTTATCCCACTGGCTATAGGGTGAACGCACCAATTTGTGAGTCGCTCTGGCTAAGAGCGTCTGCTAAATGATGTTAATGTGCCCTTGAGCAAGGCACTTAACCCTAATTGCTCCTGTAAGTCGCTCTGGTTAAGAGCGTCTGCTAAATGACTAAAATGTAATGTAAATGTAAAATGTGATGATGGTGTTGATGGAGAGAGCAGAGGGCTGTTTTAGCCTGGCACCAGAGAGATCCTTCACTTCATTTCACAAAGCCCAATTCAGTCTGATGCAGGGCTATATGGGGTCATATGAGCCGCTGAGATTATATTATCTCTGGTGCCACTGAGGCAGAATAGCCAGACTTACACATGCCTTACTCAGAGGGGAGTGTGTCAACTAACACAGTGTGTTGAATGAGAGACACCATATGGGTGGACTGAAACATCCAGCCCAGATGAGCACAGGTAAAACTCAGAGAGACAGAGAGGGTTAGGCAATGGCTGGCTGGTTAGCAGAGCAGATTGAGAATGGACTTGACCTAAATAACACAATTGGATTAAAAGATCATGAGTTCACTAGATAGACATCTCTTTCATCCATATGCTCCATATTCTTTATGAAATGGCCAATTGCATCTTACTGACCCATATGGGTTCCTTGGCGAGAATATGACTGTATTTGATTCCCATTCATACCCAGGGCAATGTATAAAAAGATATGGCATGGTATTGTATTAGAAGACTTAGAGGAGTAGAACACCAGTGCCCACCTAGGATTGCCTTCACCATTGGCTATGTTTGGAATCTGCAGGATTCACGTGTAACACAACCTTGGCCGCCCCCTGGGAGGATTGTGAGAGTGAGGGTTGTACTGCGATGTGTGCCACTGTGGTAGGGCACTAAACTAAACAGGTACTGTACGTCTGCTTACTGTAAGCAGATACAATCCCACAAAACCGCTCATCCGTTTGAAATGGGCACTCAGCCGACAGCAGACAGGTATTCAAACCAGCGACCTTTCAGTTACTGGCCCAAAGCTCTTAAACGCTTGGCTAGCTGCCACCCATTCTAAGCATGCAATACTTGTCTGAGGTCACTTGTAGTGTTATATGTGTTACCCTGTATTTCCACTTGGGTTGTGGTCACGAGAGGGAGGTGTGCTGGGGATGGGGTCATCCCCTGACCTGTCAACAGGGTCTGGGTGGGTCAGTAGAGCAATGATGCCCAGAGCAACAAAGAAGCTGCCAATAGTTGCAGTGCACATCTCACTGGATACTGGAAAGAGCTTTTGGATTTTTTACATCATGCAGGTCCTTGAAAGGGACCACAGTATTCCTAATATGTATTTTCTGAGACTCACATGAAACCAGTTACAGAAAGCATGAGGAAAGTAAAGCTTCAACGCCAATGGTAATGAATGTATTGCAAATATTGAATTGGCAGCGAATGGAAACAACAACTGTCTGAGTTGAAAAGCATCAAAAACAGATTAAGTTTTAGTAGCTATACAGAAATGTACACATTTTTGCTCATGAAAAGGAGAGCATCAATCCCACCAAGAAAAGCTGATTGAGAGTCTCAAATTATTACTTGATTCAGAGAAAATACACTGACTGATTTATAGATGGCTGCTGATCAATGTGACAATGATGTTGCAAATAATAAATGACAGATGTCAACAAGGCTAATATTCTTTGTAAAAAGTGGATGAAAGAGTTGCTGTTTTCCTATCCTTGGTCATGTGTGATACTGTTTATGGTAAAGCTATAGAGCTTCTGTCAACACCATGAATCTAACCATGTGTAGACTAAAATAGCCATGGATCATGTTTATCTTGAATACCTTCTCGGATAATCATGAGAACCCATAAGCAAACTACTAAATGGGTCATAATATTTAGCCCCTACTACTGTTTACTTTATAACACATATCATAATATTCTGTATATGAAATCAGTGGGTAAGTGGAAAAGAAAAGTGAATCTCCACACAATTTCAACTACAAAATTAATGTTCTTTCAGACTTCAGTGACATAAAAATACATAATTTTCTGATGTTCAAGCAAACGATAAAATAAAAGACAAGAGAAGAGAGAAAAAATAAATGCTGTAAAAACTGCATTGTCAACATCTGTAGCCTAAAGATTGAAATAAATAACGGATTCATGGATATATATACTCAAAATTGATTATTGACCTCACCTTGTTATTAATTTCGGGAAACATGCCGCTTTGAATGTAGCTTACGAGTGAAAGTAACTACAGTAAACTCCAGGTAAATGCAAGTCGCGAGCACATCTTCAAAAGTCCAGACGGCTTGTCACGTTCAGATTCTCTTAAAATTCAGCAGCCCAAGTCAAACCGAGGAGCGATTGTCTCTTGAATCAACACAAACTGATCGGGTCCTGAAACTCAAACTGCAACAGTCATATTTCTAAACATAGGGTCAGTATTGCTGTCGTCAGCAGGAGATTAGAGAAAGAAGCAAGCTGTAAACTGTTAGTCTTTTCGCCTTGATGCGCGAGTCTTTGAAGAGGCCACCTGTTTAGGTTTCTGCAGCTGACAGCTGGGTCTCCCCGATATATATGTTTTTTTTCCGCTTAGGCTGCGTATCGTCACGTACATTGGACTAACACTCCTAAAATCCAGTAGTGCCCGGTGAGTGTGCGCCATTGCGCGCACAGTAGCCAATAGGCTACTGCAGAGGCTGCATCCCTGTGGATAGCCTACACAGACAGTCGCTGTAGGCTACTGAGCTTCTCACATTGCAGTGTTCAGAGATGCTGCTGTCTCTCAAATTTTTCTCACCTCCCAATTTACCATACACAGACCCTTTCACACATTGCTACAACATTTATTGGGTCGGACTATTGCAATACAAACTCTGTACTGAGGCATAAACACAGTTGACCCGAGATGGGGCAGACACTCTTTTTGTAAACACTGAATCATACATTAACCCCCATGAAGCTTTGTCCCCTTCAACCCTCACATGTGTTAAAGGTTTGATGAAATTGTAGGTTTGCACTGACAGACACAAACAACAGTAAAGGCTTGCTGAATTGAATATCTCCCTGTCTGTCACAAATGCACACATGTACACAAAATAAACCAACTGACAATGCAAAGCCTGTTTCATAATAGGTTATACAACTTGATAATATAATATATATATATATATATATATATATATATATATATATATATATATATATATATAATAATCAGTATGAGTTGTCCTATGCTGGAAATGAACTGCAATGGAGGCGTATTATGTACCAGCACATAAAGGCTTGTAGGTGCACAATCAAATCACCCCATCTCTAATGCTGACCCTAGAAACAGCATGTTTCATTGGCGTAATGGGAGACAACAAAACCCGGCGTCCTTCACACCCAAACATCAATGATGTAAGTGTAAGATGTTTTTCCATTGTGACATGGGGCCAAGACTGAGTGACTAATCACAGACGGGGTGAGGCAGGTCAAAACCAAATCCATCCCCTTACACAATGAGGAAAGCTGCAGATGAATATGATTGTAGATGTTATACAACACAAGGGCTCTCCAGTAATCAGACAGGGCTAAGAGGATGATCTGTCCCTGCTGGAGAGTGCTCCGACCTTCAGCACAATGGGCTCAGTGATGTCGTAGGTCTACTACTCAGTCCCCTGTACCCTTAGTCAGACCTGTTGGAACCGGGCAGCTCTCAAGTCCCTCCTGATTTAAAACTTCCAGAGCCATCGTGCTCAGCATACCCAGGCTTAATTTACAGTGGAGAACATTTAATTGAGCCAAGGATGATCAATTCTGGTCCTAAACAATAAGGTTTAAGTGGAGAGTGAGGGACTTAAAATAATGCAAATTGATCAGGGGTTAATTTGGGATGTTGTCGTTGGTGGTTGCTTTTCCAGTATCCTTTTTTTTTTTACATGTACATCTATTATCACATTGACTATGCAACGGTACCCCCCTGTATATATAGCCTCCCTACTGTCACTTTATTCTATTGTATATATAGCCTCCCTACTGTCACTTTATTTTTACTTCTGCTCTTTTTTTCTCAACACTTTTTTTGTTGTTGTTTTATTCTTACTTTTTTTGTTTAAAATAAATGCACTGTTGGTTAAGGGCTGTAAGTAAGCATTTCACTGTAATGTCTGCACCTGTTGTATTCGGCGCATGTGACCAATACAATTTGATTTGATTTGATTTGATTTGATTTGATATTCAAATCCCAATGTATGGTTTCTCCCATCCTAAGGCAGTAGGAGTGACTTCCCCCTGAGTACGCCAGAATAGTCCCAGAAATCTTGTCCTCCAGAGATATTACTACTGTTCTGTCAAAATATGCTTCCTAGACATCTAAAACTAAACGTTCATCTCCTATCAGTAGAACACCTTATAACAGCACAGTTATCTGATCAATAGGACTGGAAAGTATAAATCTCACATATTGCTTATGATGAGACAGATTTATATTGGTTATAATTAGATTACACATCAGACAATAATCATTTGACCAAGATCCTTGCACAGCTCTCTGTGTCAACCAAATAATAAAACAATACTTGAATCACAGCAGAGCACAAAAAATCCACACTGGCAGATAATGATGAGATAAGCTAAACCAAGGCAGCAGTGTCTCCTACTACTTCAGCACTGTGGTTGTTATCTCCTGTAATTAAACACCCCTGTTCAAGCACTTCTGACCATCAACACTCGCCCCCATCCCCCTCATCAGCTCAGCCTCTTCCTAAAATCTCTTCCTTTGCCCAGTTCATAAAATCCTTATTTACATTGCTTGACAATTAGTAGAGAAATGTAGTCCATAAAGGAAGTCAAATTATAAACTACGGTTAATTTGCAATGTTTAGAGCTGAATCGTTACAATGGTCTAGTAATAAAACTAAAAATGCCATGTATTGCTCAACAACGTGAAAAAAATCCACTGAACAACAGACGAGTCTGTTAATGTCTCAGATAGTAACAGAGAGGATGTTGTTAATGATCAAACACCAAGTAAATAAGCCACAGAGCTGCCAGAGTTCACAAGGGAGACAGACACAGTCATTATGCTGTGTGTCTTCTATCACCCAGGTGATTAAGCATAGTTTACTGATGTATAGCTAGCTGAAGCAGAACTGTGCAATTTCCTGGAATCTGCATTTACCTGTCATAATCACTGGAAATTCACCAGATGTATAACATAACATATCATTAACATTTACCAGAGTTTAATTTACTTTTGTTGCTAATCAAATGACCAACAGTGCCTAGACTGAAAATAGCTCCATATCAAAACAGAGAGCAAGCGAGAGAGAAGAGATAGAGTGATAAAGATGGTGATTGAGGATAAGAGAGCCTCAGTTTACCCTCTACAGTAAACCCACCTATGTAACGCCCTCTGTGCCATCAATTACCTCATGTACCTCAGGCTGGACCCTCCTGTTCCTGCGTCCCTGGCTGCCCCAGCAGCCCTGAAGGAGGTTAAAGCCACAGCAGGCAGGCGAGGTCCTGTCTCCCCCCATTATGAAGCTCCTCCATGCTGCCACGCCCACGCCACACCTAAAACCCACCACACCCAACTGGAGAGGGCTCTTTTAGAGATTAGGGTCAGATCACCATAGAGCAGAGGGAGGATGCTGTCCGTTTTACAAAAACCTTCCTTATCTTCGCCACACTGGTAATGTAGATGTTCTTGAAGCACTCCTTAATAAGACTTCCTGTGGTAGTTCACATGGTGGAACTGGTCGAACAGAAGCTGGACTGAGAAGGGTGGTTCCCTGTATCATCTGTATCAGCCCTGGGCTTCCTCGTCAATTTCTCACCTGCTTCTCTCTGGTCCAGGAGACAGGCAGGCAGGCAGGGAGGGGAGGCTGCTGCTGTGCTTGGTGAGGGAGGAGGACGCTGACGTGTGGAGAGGGCTCAACGAGGGACACATTCTGAACCGGAGATGCAGCAGCAGGGGCCTGGTGCTGGCTTCCTGTGAGGGGCCTCTTGGGGAGGAGGAGTGCAGGTGACAGGCCCCTCTCCCTCCCAGGTGGGCTCTTTATGTGGCGGAGGAAGAGTACTAATAGGGCTCCCAGTTGGCCTGGCTGACGCCTTCTGCCTCCTCCTGGAGACAGAACCACTAGAGCTGTCCTATTCCCCCCATCTACCACCTGCTCTTCTGCAAGCCCCACGGGACGCTTCCGCCTTGCTGACAAACAGCGCAGAGATGAAATATTATCCTGGTGCCTGCCACGCTGCCAGCCTCCACTGCAGCAGCTGGAGGCTGCACAGTCCATACCAGGACAGACCACAGAGGAACACTCAGAGGATGACTCTGACGGTGCTTTGGAAAGATAGGAGGTTAGAGGCAATAGGCCTAAACCAACCCCCCATTTAATGTTACAGAAGATGGTCAATAGGCCTACAGGTCAGGTGAGAAACTCTGTGTGAATAACTTTTACCATATCACTTCTAAGGCCTGAAATACAGGCGTCACTTTAGTTAGCAGTTGTTTCAGCATGCTGTGCTGTGTGTGGGTCTCTCAACATGACAGCTTGCCTCGCAAAGGAGCAGACCTAAACAGATCTATCTTGTTCTATTTGGTCTCTGCGTACTCAATACGCACTTGCAATGAGCAATGTGTCTACCATGGTCAAAATGTACTGCACGTCTGTGGCAATGTCAATCAAACCATAGCTATTGTTTATTGTTGCATGAAAAAGCTGCTATTCTCTATTAACGTCATCAGGCTTACTGGAGCATTGCCGAAGTGTCACCCAAGGCTGCCACTCAGTCTTTGTTTCCTCCTCACACAGCCTCATACAGCTTTACTAAAACAGGAACACTTGAACAGACTGCTGGACTCCTAGGGCCCCCAGATCTCTGGGGCTTATAGGTGGGAGCTCACAAGTCAGTCAGTCAGTCAGTCAATCAGTTAGTCAGCCAGTAAATCAAGCAGGGATGGGATTCATGGGAGGGGAGGGAGTGAACAGCAGGCAGGGAGGGCCTAGTTGGCCAAACCTCCTCTCAGACTCAGAGCCAGAGGCCCTAACCGGCAGCCTGCAGCCTGTTGTGGCTCCCTAACAGAAGCCAGGCGCCGCCAGGAGACACAGCACAGACAGTATCAGTGTCTCCTGACGCTTGGCAGAGGCAGGAGTCAGGGTAATGACTTGGCTGGCAGGCACGCCGCAGCATCTGCAGTTTAGTCAGCGAGCAAAGCGACAGCACGGCTCGGGGAGAGATGTGGGTCACGTTTACAGGTGATGATAAGGTTGCCCCGTGTGATGATACGTTTATGGTGCCCGTGTGAGGATTAGTTACCATAATCACCATACCCTCTATTTATAGGTCCGTTTTATTCATGTCCATAAAACCAATGTGGCCCCGTGGCCAAGAGTCGTGTGTCAGAGTAGCTGGGGACATAGATCTGTAGAATAATCAGGCTCAGGTCAAGCCAAGCCAAATCCCATTAGCCATGTGAAGGGCCTTTCACAGTACTGGCAGGGAAAGCCAAAGCTGGTCTCCTAGCAAAAACTAAAGTTTCACCCAAACAGACCAAATTGGAGGGAAATAGGATAATGTATTAAAGGAGAAAGACACTGTATGGGAGCTAACAGATACATACGCAGCTTTGTGCTTTTGATGACAGATAAATAAGTACTGTAAACTGTGAGTTAAGTAAATACAATTTAAGTAATCTCACAAACAAAGCCATCAAACAATTAACTATGAAAAAATATAATAATCAATGATATAAAC